AGGTGACACTAGCCATTTTGGAGTAGGTGAATAATTATCCTGAGATCTTTTTCTCTGTTAGGGAACCTAGCACATGTTAAATGAGTTCCCTTGTCCATAAAAACATTCTGAAATGCAAATCTCTAAACCTTAGAAGTAGACACAGGGCTGAATGTTCAGGAATATTTGCAATACATACGTGCCTTAGCAAGGGAACTATTGTAGCTGCAGACTTGAATCGGTGTCTTAGCCACAGACAGGCTGCCAAGTATGGTAGCCGCCACCATCATCATTACCTAGCACCCTCCTGTTGGTGGTGGGCTAGATACTAGAGGCCACCACTTTTGCCTGAAAACAAACAGAGCACCACCACATGCTTCCAGAAGAGCCATATGGCTTCTACTTCATGATGTACGTTTTCTCCTTCAAGGTCCTACAAAGGTACATCAGCTTGGTGACTGCTCTGTCGGAAGTAGAAACTCTAGCTGCAAGATATAGTTTACTCTTTTAGCGTCATATGTACAGGAAGCCATGTTAGAAGCAATTTAGAGTTCTATAGTATTTTTCATAGAGAGCCTCAGGTAGATAGATGTTAGTCTGACATCTTGCCTTTATACTTGATATTGAGCACATCATTTCTGGGAGAGAGCAACAAGCCAAAACTATGTTGTATTTAGTTCATGCTGGAAGCTAAAAGTTATTATTCCCAGGAAATATGTCTCACCAAGCTGAAACTTTATTGAGTACCTGTCCTAGAAATTTCACTGTAGTGAGAACAAAAATAGTCATGAACTTTAGCTTATACTATTTCCAGAAATAGTTTAGAAATAATTTAGATACATAAATACTGTAACTGTCAAATGGTTCCAAGTTCTTATTCCTACCCAAGACCAGAATTTTTCATACCTTTCCAATAATGCAAGACTTTTTTTGCCAAGTAGCTAAGCAGTAATAAGAGCATTGAGGTAGCAGATGGATTGCAAAAGCATTCTTTTCATTAAATTTTTTCAGGAAAAGAAACCTCTTATTCCCAAAGCACCAAACAGGAATGATGGAATCTAGAATCAAAATTTAAATTATCCTCTATATCACTCAGCTATTGCTCAGTTATCAAAAGCTACAAAATCCCCGTGACATACGACAATAATGATTTATTTCTCACACACCTGAGCATCAGGTGGAGCAGCTCTGATGATGTCGGCTGGGTGGCTCTAAGCTATAGGTTGGGTCCAGGTCTTTTTCACAGGTTCTCATCCTCATTGGACCAGCAGGCTAGCCAGGTTATGCACTTTTTAAGCACAGATGGCAAAGGCACAAGAGAATAAACAGAAACATCAGTTACTTTTAAGGCCTAAGGTTGGCACACTTTCATTTTACCATACATTTTATTGACCAAAGAGAAGAGGTTGGAAAGTATTAACTTTCTTTTGTGGAAGGAACTGTTAAGTTACATTGCAAAGAACATTGACACAGGAAATGGATGATGAGGAATTGGGGCCTAAATCAAAGTCTGAATTATCAAAATATTTAGGGGAAATTCTGTGGTTCTCCAAATGCCTGTTTTTTTTTTTTTTCATTTGTGACTAATAAATTATCATTGAGCCTAGCCTTTGTTTATAGACTAGGATAATGCTTTATTAATCTCTATAATTGAGATCTGTAAATGAAATAGACTTCCTGGCTAGAAGCTAAGAGAGAAGAAGATGATGCTACCCTCCCCCCAATTTGGTGAGAGTTGTAAAGATTTCAGTGTTGTCATAGATTCTATATATCATTAAAAGGCAATATAAAAAATCTTGTCTCATAAATACAGTGTTTACTCAAGGAATCAGCCTAGGTTTGCATAATCTATTTGTTGTTAGACCTATGACTAATTGTAAGAAAACCTATCATAATAGATAGGTTTTATTGATAAAAGTGACAACTGAATTTATGTGATTCTTTTGACTTTTTCTTAATAAACATGATGAATAAGAATATGGTCTAATATATTCAATTTAATAATACTGGAGACTAGTAATGAATGTAAACAGTAAGCTTCAAATTTGATTCTGAATGAAATAGATTTTTTATTGATAAACAATTGATGAATAAGTTTGTGTCACTTTTAGGTATACAACATAATGATTCATTACTTGCATATATTTCAAAATGATCACCACGGTAACTTTATTTAATACTTATCATCAGGCATAGTTACAAATTTTTTTTCTTTTAATAAGAACTTTTAAGATCTATTCTCTTAGCAACTTTCAAATATACAATACGCTACTAACTATAGTTACCAAGCTGTACATTATCCCTTGGATTTATTAATTTTGTAACTGGAAGTTTGTACCTTTTGACCACCTCCACCCCTTTGCCCTCTTGTCCCCCGACTCCTTACCTCTAGCAACCACCAGTCTGTTCTCTGAATCGAAGTTCAGGCTTTTTTTTTTTTTTGGGGGGGGGTCTTTTTTTAGATTCTACATATAAATGAAATCGTATGGTATTTATCTTCCTTTCTCTGATTTATCTCACTGGGCATCGTGCCCTCGAGGTTCATCCATGTTGTTGCAAATGGCGATATTGTATTATTTTTTTATGGCTGAATAATATCCTTCTGTGTATATGTGGTGTTTCTTTAATTCATTCATCCATCTATTGATGGACACTTTGGTTGCTCCCATGTCTTGGCTATTGTAAGTAACACTGCAGTGAACATGCGGTACCTGTATCTTTTCTGTTTAGTTTTAAGATTATTTTTCACAGTGTCTCAGAAGAAAGGGTAAAAGAAATAACTTCTTAGAACTCAGAAATGACTAACAGTAAATTCTATTCTTAGGAAACTATTCACTCTAATATCATGCTCATAATAGAAAACAATGATCTAGAAATAGCACTTTAAGCAAATATACCAAAATTATAACTGTTGGCATTATGACTTTTTTTCTTCACAGTAATTTTAATTACAACAACGGCTATTGTTGAGCTCTTGTTAAAAACTGGTAGAGTCCTTGGGCTCCTGGGTAGCTCAGCTGGTTAAGTCTCCTACTTTTAATCTCAGCTCAGGTCATGATCATGTTTTGAGCCCTGCATTGAGCTCTGCACTGACAGTGTGTAGCCTGCTTGAGATTCTCTCTCCTTCTCTCTCTGCCCCTGCTCCCTCTCTTTCTCTCTTTCTCTTTCTCAAATAAATGAACATTAAAAAAAAAAAAAAGCCTTGCGCAATCCTAAGTACTTTAGATGTATTATTTGATTTAATTTGTAAACAACTTGATGAGGTAAAAATTCTTTCTTTTTTCCTTTTTCTTTCTTTCTTTCTCTCCCTCCCTGATTTTTTCTTTCTATTGAAGTATAGTTGGCACACAGTGTTACATTAGCTTTAGTGATTCAACAACTTAGTTGTGCTGTGTGCTCACCACAAGTATGGCTACCATCTGTCACCATACAACACTATTACAATACCTTTGACTAAAATTCCTTTGTGGTACCCTGTGATCATCCCTGTGATTTATTCATTCCATACTTGTGATCCTGTACTCCCCAGCCCCTTATACCCATTTTGTCCCCCTCCCTCCCCTCTGGCAACCATCGCTTTGTTCTCTGTATTTGTGGGTCTCTTCCTTCTTTTTTGTTTGCTCATTTGTTTTGTCTTTTGGATTCCACATATAAATGAAATCATATGGTATTTGCCTTTCTGTATCTGACTTATTTCACTCAGCTTAATACCCTCTCCTTCCATCCAGGTGGTCATAAAGGTCAAAAACCTCATTCTTTTTTATTGCTGAGTATTACTCCCTTGCCTTACCACATCATCTTTAAGGCAGAACTTACTGTCTTTATTTTACAGATGAGGAAACATGTACAGCAGATAGGTTCATGTGCTTCAAGTGATCTATAATTCACATATACAGTATTTTAAAAATGGAAGTAAAATTTTAATAACCTTTTAGAGCAAGAAAGTTGTACCATCTTCAGAGTAACAATTTGTAAACAATCTGACCTGTACCATTTGTGAAGCTTTTTCTCCAGGACTGTACTGTGCTATATTATTAGAAAGCCAGCACCTTCCTTAGGCAAGTCCCTTAACAACTCCATGCCTCAGTTTCCTCATGTAAAATGACTCTAATTACTTGCCCTGCTTCTTAAAATTGTTGAGGGGATCATATGAAATATGTGAAAACAACTTGTAAGTCAAAGTACCATGTAATATTAAGCAGTGATGTATTATTTTAAGTCAAGATAAAAAAAATTGCAGCTAGAGGGGCACCTGGGTGGCTAAGTCAGTTGAGCGTCAATTTCCACTCAGGTCATGATCTCGCGTTTCAAGAGTTTGAACCCTGCATCAGGCTGTTTGCTATCAGCGCAGAGCCCACTTGGGATCCTCTGTCTCCCTCTCCCTCTGACCCTCCCCTGCTTGCGCATATGTGCTCATTTCCTCTCTCTCAAAAAATACATAAACATAAAAAATTTGCAGCTAGAAAATTATAATTAGATGTTTGCTGATAACACATGACACATTTATAGTCTAAACATTAAGATAAAAATATGCAAAGCTAGTACTTACTCAAAAAATCAAACTAGGATATAAATATGGCATCGAGTTCAATTTTTGCCCAGTGGTACATAAATTGGGAGTGTTGCGACTAAAGCCAACTCTGCATTCTGAGACACAGTTACTTAATACAAATAATGGTTAGTAAGTGATATCTTTATTTAAATGCATTGTCATTTATTAGTGCCAGTTTCTCATAAATGTCGATAGAATTAGGATTTTTAATATTAAATAATAGTTAAGAAAGAGAAAGACTTGTTTGTTCATTGCTACATCCCCATTGCTTAGAACATTGAGACATAAATATTTGTTGAAACATTGAATGAAAGAATACTACAGTATTTGGAAGAGAGAATTTAAGAACAGGTGTAATACATGATACATGAAAACGTTAAGCACAAATTACTCACAATGTAATATTCTGAAATTTCATTGGCTCACATATGTTTGGCAGATTTAACATCTTTTTATTTGCTTTACTTAGGGACGTGCTGCCTTAACACAAGAGAAGAAGGAATTTGCCCATGAACATGAAGAAATGAAGAACCTAGAAGCCATTGTTCAAGAAATAAAACCAACTGCCCTCATAGGTAAACTTCTCCCTCTTTCCCATAAACCCCACCCTAACCCCATTTTGGCCTGATTCATTTTCTTACTCATTTTTGAGGCATAATTTAGCTTTTTGAAATTTTAACCTTTGGAATTCACAAACAAAATTACACATTCACTGAATCAACAGTACCCCAACGGACGCCTAGATTTGTAAATTTAGTACTGTCTTCTCAGTTCTACCGATTCCAGCTGAAGCGTGTGGCCCCCCTCTGCCAACTCTGTCAACCTGTTAATCCTTGGGATATTCGGCACTTTCCCAAGCATGATTACTTCAGATAGACAATGATTCTCAAATGTGAGTGTCTTTGCCCCCAAAGAAACATTTGGCAATGTCTGGAGATGTTTTTGGTTGTTACAACTTTGGGCAGGGTTGGAGGCGGGGTGGTCAGGGGTACTGAGATTAGTGGGTAGAGGCAGGATGGTGCTCAGTGCCCTACAGTGCACGGGAAAGCACCCTACCCCGCCTCACACACACACAAAGAATTATCCAGCACACAATGTTAATATCCCAGAGGTTGAAAAATACTGCACTAACTACTAGACTCTCTCTGAAGACAGGGACCAAATTTATATTCCTTATAGCACTTAACACAGTGCTTACACAGTGCATGTGCACGCATGATGTTTAATATGGTCAAATTTAATGTGGCTAAAAAAAACTCAGAGGAGGTTATGAAACTTTATGCCTTATTTTGTGTGTATATAATGTCACTTCTTATTTTGGATCATACTCCACTCCTGGAAGCTCTTGTAAACATGACAGTATTGAGAACAATGATGATAATCATAACAAAAACAATACTCCATAGCAGAAACTGTAATAAGCCTTGCTTTTTTACAAAATTCTTTGTACCAGGAATCTGACTTTTTTCATTTCCTTCATGCTAATTGCTTTATTCTTCTGTTAGGATTCTTTCAGTGACTGATACCTCAGTTTTACAATTGAATTGGATGACTGTCTTAAGTGTTAGCACTGGTTTATAAAACATAATTACTTTATAACCTGAGAGATTGGAATATACTCCTAGAATTGTTCATAGAGATAATATATAGTAGGCACATTTTAATTTCCTGACATCAATGTCTGTAATCAAAATACTTAGTGATTTGGTCACTGACTCCGTGTATTATGAGCCAGATGTTAGATGTGTGATGTTTTGTATAGATACTTGGAGATTTGTAACCCTAAAGACTGTTCGCATTAACAAGTGTATCTTCTTTTTGTTGCTATTAATGCAGATATTCTATATTTTGTTTAGGGCCTATCAGAAAATGGCCTGACCTGTCTCATTGTTTTGAGGGCATGGACTTCTTACTTAAGTAACCACTGATAGTCGATTCACTGGCTTCTCATTTCTACATTAGGAGTTGCTGCAATTGGTGGTGCATTCTCAGAACAAATTCTCAAAGATATGGCTGCCTTCAATGAACGGCCCATTATTTTTGCTTTGAGTAATCCAACTAGCAAAGCAGAATGTACTGCAGAGCAGTGCTATAAACTAACCAAGGTAAAGCAAAAGTGTAACTTTTCTTCCCCCACCTCCCCATTCCCCAGCTCCGCCAGTGCTGGCACAGAGCCTCATAATTTAGTACTTTAATTCTTAATCGTTATAGAGCAACCAAGGATATCTATGATTCTTACCACTTAATCTTCAAAAACTAAAAAACCAAGACTGAAAGAAAAGTGAATAGGCCAGAGAGGTTAAGAACTATTGCCTCTTCTAGAATGTTGTGTAAATCCTCCTTTTCAGTAAAACAAAATAAGCTTTATAAAGTTTATTGATATTTTTTTTCAAGTGATTTGGAAGCATCTAAGACTTGAACATAAAAGCTAAAAAAGAAAATTTTTGATTCTAGATGCTTATTAAAATAACTTTTAACTAGCTATTTCTGAACATTGAAGCATACAGTATAAAATCTCAGTCTTATTTTCGTTTTGCTAACTCCTGAGTTTAGATTTTGATGTCATTGGTGGTACATTTGGGCAGCTGTTTTGACATCTAGCCAGTTTGGGATAGAAGTCCTCAAAGCTTCAATTCTTTACTGTTTCCAAAAAAGTGGCTTATTTTATACTGTGTTTGTATTAATATATGTTTGACTGATAGGTTGACAACAGCCTGTCTTCCTTTCAAAGACTTAAAAATGTCATTATAACAAAATAGAGGTTGAATCATATATATCTAATAATTTTATTTTGGAAAGAAATCCAAAATAAAGTAGAAAAGGTTAACATGACATCAGAAATTAATGGCTCCACTTCCTTAATATTATAACCTTAAATGCTCATTACTAGAATTAATGAAATGTTGGCAAGGAGCTACTCCATTGCCTGTCTATCTTAATTTGGGATGGCCTCCATGGCTTCAATAATTTTAATTTTCAGTCCATCTCTAGTTTGGGAAATTTGCCTGACATCCCTGAGTAGTCCTTAAATTGTTAAAAGGGGAAGGAAAAAACAAACAAACCAACCAACCTGTGAGCAATAAAATTTTAGCATGGTATACAAATGATAAAATTTTAGCATAGTAGACAAATAATAAATGTTTTTGTAATTATTTTGTCAAATATCTCAGTAGGTGTCAGAAGTTTATAGAGTCACCAGTAATAGAAATAAACACAATTAGCCAAATTTATATAATTATATTTTTAAATTTAAAAAAATTTTTAATATTTATTTATTTTTGAAAGCGATGGAGTGTGAGTGGGAGAGGGGCAGAGAGAGGGAGCGTCTGGCCTTGACTCAGGTCGTGATCTCATGGTTCATGAGTTCGAACCCCACATGGGGCTCTGTGCTGACAACTCAGAGCCTGGAGCCTACCTCAGATTCTCTGTGTCCCTCTCTCTCTGCCCCTCCCCCACTCATTCTCTCTCTCACTCTCTCTCTCAAAAATAAACAATTTTTAAAAATTAAAGAAAAATATGTAGATCCCTAAATTCTAACCTAAAATGTCATACTTTCCAATACTCTAATGTTAACCCATCATTTTTTCAGCTTCAGAAGTCTATAATCTGAAGCCCATATAGAAATGGTTGATAGGCTTCTGGGTTGGAGCCCTGTAGAGAATAGAGTGGTGGTTTTGGAGTGTCCAGTGCTTTGCACACCTCTGTGAGGAGTAGAGAGGGAGGCAGAGAACAGCAGTCATCACCCACTCCAGAACTTAGAGCCAGCATCGTAAAACTTGCCCCGACTTTATTAGAGAGTTAATGAAAATTAGTCTTCTTTCTAAATACTCAGCACTTTAACTATGGGGTAGTTCTGTTATGATACATTTGTTTTAAAATACCATGCTTCTTTTTTAAAGTCAGTCGCGTGTCTGTGTTGTAGGGGCGTGCGATTTTTGCCAGCGGCAGTCCTTTTGATCCAGTTACTCTTCCAGACGGACGGACTCTATATCCTGGCCAAGGAAACAATTCCTATGTGTTTCCTGGAGTCGCTCTTGGTGTTGTGGCGTGTGGATTGAGACATATCACAGATGAGATTTTTCTCACAACTGCTGAGGTATTGTAACTGCTCAGCCTGTGTTCACCAAGGCTGTAAAACACCAGAGGAGCTCAGTGTGGGTTGTTTACTGATTTATTTAGATAGCATCTCAGCTCCCTCCCTATAAGGCACAAAGTCTGAAGAAGAGAAAAATCTCTCCTAGTGGAGAATAAGGGGTAGGTAGCAGGTTCATATTGGAGTCACTAGTAAAAGACTCTTCTTCAGTAGCTGGTAAAAAACTGTTCTGATCTCTTACAAGGAACTCTTCCATCTTCATACTTGCAATCAAGTTCCGTGACAGTAGTGACACAATTGAAAATATGGTTTCCAAATCATAATGAAGCAGTAAATATTTCTCCAAACTTTCCTAACCAACAGCACTTTGAAGGTTTAAAATGAAAGTCTGATTCGATACAGTGAAGACGTGTTTATCATTGAGGGTACAGGGCAGATAACAGAAACTACTCTAATATTTTAAGCAGAAAGAAAATTATAACAGGGAATTAGTGTTTATAAAGCCATTAAAAGGACAGAAGTGGGTTTGAGTGTGGACCTTCAGGAAAGATTCTCCGAACAACAGACCCAGTAGGGACTGGTGAGCTGTTCTTAGGAAGTGGAGGCTCTGAAACTTTACCTTAATTGCAAGCTAACGAATTAGCCTACTGCAGTTTCATGGATGCTGGCCAGAGACCCAAAATGCAGAGGTCAGAGACAAAGACTTTATTACTTATGGCACAAAAGGTACCATAAACTTCAGGTTCCCATCAGTTCCCCTTCCTCCCCACACATCAGGGGGACAATACAGTGATTGGGCATATAGTTGTAAAATCATGAGCTTTTTGATAATCAGAATGTTCATCTGGTTGATACCATGTTTGAGCAGGATGCAGTTCACAGGTGAGAAATTTGAGTGAATTTCTTCTAAAATGAAACCACTGTACAACATGATAACTGAACTGAACCAAATAAAAGATGATTAAAATTCAAATATTTTTATCCTGCAAACATGCTATTCTTTCTGTTTTGAAGAGGAACTCAGAGAATATAGATAAAGGGTCTTCTGTTACTGTTGTGGTCTAAGGAGTAGACTCCCAGCATTTAGCACCTGGCATCATTCTGTGAGCAGGTGTTGAAGGCTGTAATGTTCTGCTCCTTTCTTTCTCTTCACTGCAGTAAAAGCATGGCAGCTGGCGTCCCAGAGTTTAACTCATAAAATCTTGTTAAGCATAAGTAGGTATCTAATCACTAAGAGAGATTTTCAAAGCTGTTCACACATTAAGGAAAAGAGAATTATTGTTCTCTATAACAGACATATCAAAGGGGGGAAAAAGATCTTTTACTCATTGTGGCCCATGTTTGCTTTCCTAAATAACTCCAGCACCATCTAGTGACAAACTTCATGAAAAAAAATTCCTTCCATTTACCATCCAGGCAAAGTAATAATTACTATCAAAAAACTTTGAAGAAAAAAAGAAAATGTAATGTCAACAGTGTTCTTAGAGCTAGTGATCTCTCTGGCTACATCTTCTGGACTTTCCACTGGTTTTCTCTTAGGCTTCAGCACAACAGTCTTGTATTTGAGACCGCCTCATTGTTTACTTTATCTTCTTTTCATTTCCCATGTAACTAAGAGCTTTTTTCTAGCATTCATTTTTTTTTTTTTTTTTTGGTCCCAACTTTTTTCTTCTCTTTTTCTTATGCTTTCAGAGATCTCATCCGTTCTCTGGTTTCCATGATCTTAATTCTAAAAGTGGCCAAGTCTATGTATCTCTAGTCTCATCTTTTAACATGTCTCCAGTTACCTGATGGATATTTCCACAGAAACGCCCTGCTGTTTCCTTAAACCCACAGTGCATAAAACCATACTTCTCACCTTCCTTCACCCTCAATATTTGCATTCTGTTTAGTGATACTCCTTTCTAAAGCTTAGAAGCCTGACATTCTTACATTCTCGTCCCAAAGCTTCAAACACACTGTGCATGCACACTCCTGTAACTGCTCTATTATCCTGCCTGGAAAACTCTGGGAACTATTCTCCACCTATTTAAGCCTGTCCCTCTGGTCACTTCACTCCCCACCTCATGCTTGAATCCTTTGGCGACTACCTTGGCTTGTCGTGAGAAAATTAGGAAGGTTAATTAATTTGCCCAAATTCAAATAAATAGTAATTATTGCAGTTAGAATTTGAATATAGACCTACCTCACATCAGCCTGAGCTTTGAAGCACCATGCTGTTAACAACAAAGAGGTTTCTGGCTCTCCTGGTACTCTAGCAACCTTCTGAACCTCCTTCCCTAGGTCAGTCCTCCTGGACATAGACTCCTCACCTCCTGACCACATCTAAGAGGTGAGCATTGGCTGCCTGTCCTTACACCATTCCTCCTGAATCACCTTCTCTGTTTCCTCTCACCTGCCTCACCTTTCTAAAATCTGCCCGGAGGACACTAGAGATGGTCACCACAGACAACAGCATCTGGAGGAAACGTTGATTCATTTCAGTCACTGGATAACTGAAAATCCAGCTGCTGTTACATTGCCAAAATGAAATGAAAAGAGATCATTTGAAAGTGGACACAGTCTAGTTAGAGAGACACCAGTGGCATATCAAAAGCAACAAATAGTTCTTGAGTGAATGAGCTAATAGGCAAGAGTGACATTAAGACTCTTGTAGACTCTCCCCTTTTCCCCCAGATCAATCCCTTCCATGTTAGTGATTTAATTCCTAACGTTAGGCTCCCCTGGTCACCTGTGTGCTCCTTGACTCTGTTCCACAGTGTCTCGGTTCTCTCTGTGTGCAACAGGCATGCCTGGAGAGCAAAGATTCAGACTGATTCTTCTTTATTCAGCCATCTTCTAACTGTCCCCAGTCTCTTTAAAATGATATTGTGCAACATCCCAGAGAAGAAACAATGATGTTGGACACCAATGGTGGAGGAACCATATACCTGTTATCTCACAGAAATAATGTGCAGTTGATTGGCTACAGAACTTGCCTCCAAATCAAAAAGCTAATAAGTGGGTATATTGTAGAGTTAGATCTGTCCCCCAGAGCTGTTTTACTTCGATTCTGCCATGGTGACTGCCTCTCTGTTTTTTGAAAGTGAAATAGCTAACAGGGGTGCCTGGGCTCAGTTGGTTGAGCATCCTACTCTTGATGCCCTCTTAGGTCATGATCTCATGGTAGTGAGAACGAGCCTCGTATCAGTCTCTGTACTGAGTGTGTAGCCTGTTTGGGATTCTCTCTTTCTCTCTCCCTCTGCCCCACCCCCACCGCTTGTGTGTGTACATGTGTGTGCATATGTAAACGTGCATGCTCTCTCAAAATAAATAAATAAACATCAAACAAAAAGTGAAATAGCTAAGACATACTGAACATTTACTTTCTCAGACAATGTGGTAAATTCCTTACTGGCATTTATTTTGTTTAATCTCATGAATTAGGAATTGTTAGTAGTCTTCTATCACCAAAGAGAAAACTAGGCTTAGGAAGGTTAATTAAGTTGCCCAAATTCAAACAAATAGTAATTATTGCAGTTAGAATTTGAATATAGACCTACTTCACATCACAGCCTGAGCTGTCAACCACCATGCTGTTACATCCTTTCAAGACTGTGCTACTCATTTTTTTCTCTATCCAGTTAAATAACAGTACTAGATACTCTTACAGGTTTTTGCTTTAACATCTAAGAAATGCCACCTGATTTAAATCTGCTAAAAATCCTTTGCAGAACAACAAGAAGTAACAGGATTTTGTAAACCACCTCAATTCAATGGGGCATCAACATCAAGTGGTTTTATTTTGCCTGACAATCATGGTTTTTTGAATAATTCTCCATCGAGTCTCTCTTTTCTTTCTCTTCATGGCATCTCAGTAACTTTGAATTCTGTTTCAATTCACCCATTCTTTTAACAAGTATTAATTAAGTACCTGCTATGTGCTAGGCATTTTTCTGGGTGCTGGGGAATACATCAGCGAACAATAATTAAACATCTGTTCCGTTCAGAATTTGTATCCCATTCAAGTATCATGTCTTGTCCCTTCTGTACAAGAGGCCTGCAGCAGCAGCTGGCAGAGAGCCCCTTCCCTTTTGCTCTTCTCCCATACCAGCCCCTTGGGGGCTCAGGGGAAAGAGTGCACCTAGGCTCTGAAAACCTCCTCCCCCTTCTTATTAAGGCCTGTTTTCTCAAATGGGTTGGAGACAGAAGAGAAGGGTATGGAAAAGGGCAAACATGTCTTGTCTTTTTTTTTTTTTTTCTTTTTCTTTTCTCTTTTCTTTTTTCTTTTTTTAGAGAGCACATGAGCAGGGGAAAGGGGAAGAGGAGGAGATAGAGAGAGAGAGAGAATGAGAATCCTAAGCAGGTTCCATGCCGAGTGCAGAGCCCAACACGGGGCTCCATCCCACGATCCTGGGATCATGACATCAGCCGAAATCAAGAGTCAGCCATTCAACCGACTGAGCCATTCATCCAGACACCCCAAACATGTCTTTTATTAATTCTCCACGTTTTTAGGCCATCAAACCATCTGAGGCAGGGGCCCATATCTGGCTTTCTCGTGGGGTATGTGTACAGGAGTTTAGAGAACCTTTGGGGCCCTCTATTGCATGACATGAGAGACCTGGCTCCAGTTCGGCCTCTTCCCCTTGCTCAACATTCCCAGCCTGTGAGATCCTCCTCTGTGGTGAAAACTCGGGCTTGGAAGCTCATGCCTTCTAGGGCTGCAGGCTCCTCCTCCCCCCCACCCCCACCCCACACCTTTCTGTCTGACCTCCTTTCCCATTCTCTTCACCTCTACTTACATGAACATGTCTGTAACTACTCAAGCTAAGTGAGGAAAAGAATGCGAAACCTCAGGCTCTCAAGAGGAGGCAGTATGCAGGAAGAAGAAGGGGAGGAAAGCCACTGCATTACCCACTAGGCCAAATTATGGTTCTGGAGAATCTTCCTGATTCTCCCCATCTCAGCCTTCTGCAAAAGGGCGCCTGTGTTTGTGGGGGTGGCAGGGCCGATTCCACCACCTCTTAGGTTCTGAGGGCATGGCGGTCTCCACTTGGTGGCTTCATTATAATGTGGAACACTTAATTCTAGTGTTCTAGTGTTGGGGGCCCTGATCACCAATTCTGGGGTAAAGGAGAAGTTTTGCTCAACATCCTGTTATAAAGGCAAGAAATAAAGGACTTAAACAGTGTCTTTGTATAAAATTCATTGTGATCGGCTTTCTGTAATTCTAGATATAAATTACATTTTGCATAATATGCAATGTCATATTAAACAGCAGTTATACTAGTAACTTCATCTTGATCTCGCTGTACCCCACACCCCTACCTAAATATCCTGGTTCAGAAGTCCTCAGTCACCCATAGGATTTAACCAAAAGTCCTTAATTTGGCATTGACAGTGCTCCAATCTTTATTCTCTATTCAGACCCCCTCTGTTCCCCCAGATCAGGACACGGGAATCACTGAGTCCAAGTCATACATTTCTGCCTTTGGTCTGAATTTGTCTTCTTTCTGGAGTACCACCCCCCTTCCCTTTTGTCTGACTCCTAGCGCTCCTTCTCAGGCTCCCTCCACTCTACCTCTGGACTTCTTAACACTCACATTTCACCTTTGGTCTAGGCTGTCCTCTCTTCAGTATTGCCATTTTCTTCCTCACCAACTTATAATTCTCTCAAGGGCAGGACCTGGCTTTTTTATCCTGTTGGTGTTATACATTCTTAATGTCTTTCATATTTGCTGATGGCAATAGAAAATTTGCAGAAATAATTTCGTGATTAAAAAAAAATCTAAGATATTAAGAGATTCTGAAAAATAAGTGCTTATGCAAAATATTTCAAATGAGGAAGATTTTCTACTTCTTGTCTGCACCCTTAGGTCTATTAAATAATAGAGCCAGCCATACAGTGCTTTAGACTTGCCACACTGAAATACCTAATCAAATCAAAGTCCTAGAGCTAGAGGGAACTTCACGATTGTCAGTCTACCTCCGTTCTCCAGAAGGTTCAGCAAATAACTTAGCATATAGAACTTTATTGTTGAACCATTTGAGAGCAACTTACAGTATCACACCCCTTTACCCCTAGATATTTCAGGACATGTTTTTACGTGATCTCTGTACCATTTTCAAGTCAGGGACTTTAACATGGATAGAATATTATTATCTAATGCACAGTCCAAATTCAAATTTTGCCAATTATCCATTAAAAAAGGCCTTTATAGCCTCTAGACTAATCCTTTAATCTACGAGCATATTTCAGTCTTTCCTTTATGGCACTGACATTTTGGAGCATACAGGCCAGTTGTTTTTTACAATGTTCCCCACTTTGGGTTTATCTGATTGTTTCCTCATGATTGAATTCAAGTTATGTGGTTTTGTTAGGAGTACTAAATGCCTAATGATGGCATCCTTCTCAGTGCATCACATCAGGAGGCATGTAATGTCAGTCTGTCTCATTAAAAAAAAAATTACTGAGGTATAATTGACATAAGGAAAAGCTGTACATATCTAATCACACAACTTCATCACCAAAATATATGCCATAAAAATATCCATCAGTGCCAAATGCTCTTTTCTCCTCTGTTTATGAGTGTGTGTGTGTGTGTGTGTGAGAGAGAGAGAGAGAGAGAGAGAGCGAGCCAGTGCCAGCGAGCATGGGAGAGAAGGAGATAAGAACACTTACCATAATAAGATCTATCCTCTTAGCAAATTTTTAAGTAAATGCCATTTGATTTAGAAATGGGGAGTGGTCTGGGAACAGCAAATGCTGAGACCAGTTAGGGGATTCAGAGAATCCAGAATCTGGGTAAACTGAAATCCTACTTGCAGTGTGACTCCAAAATGGCTTTCTCAGCCCCCTACTCTGCCTCTTGTGCCAGAATACGTGAGCTGGGAGAAGCAGCGTGATCAGCCTTGGATCCCTTCCTTTCTGTACTCTCAGGGTCCTTGTCCGTTGCTTTTGTCATCCTCCTCTGCCTTCATCACCCCCTCTCCCCTGTTCTTCTAGCACATTAGATGGAAAAGCTTTCATGGCACAGTAGAAAAGGAACTGGAGTAGGAGGCAGTGCAGATTCTATTCCCTTCTTTACCAATGGGGTGATCCCACCAGTCGCCAAGTCTTTTGGGCTCAGTTTTCCCATCTACAAAGGGGAGACAAAATTAGGTGATCACATTAATGTGACCTGCTCCATACATGACCATATGTGACCATTCACCTAGTTATCCTCACAACCATCACCATCACATTGTATGCTGTGAAGTAAAAACATATTTGTCTTTCTTTTTTTTGAAAGGTTATAGCCCAGCAAGTATCAGATAAACACTTGGAAGAGGGCCGGCTTTATCCTCCTTTGGACACCATTAGAGATGTTTCTCTGAAAATCGCAGCAAAGGTAAAACCACTCTTTTTCAGGTCTTACTATTTTTCCTTTCTTCTATTGCTAAATATGCATGTTAGGTACTAAAAATTGCTTCACTTCCTTGAAATGTATATCTGTCAACTTATTTTGCAGAAGTCAGAGAAATGAGACACAGTGCTTTAGTAGAGCTTAGGAACTACAGTTCATCCCTAGGATTGGAAGAATTGGGCTGAATCATTGATTTCCCTATCATTCTTTTTCTGTCCTATAATCTAAATAAGTTAGTAGGATTCCCTTTCAGTTAGGTTTCTCCTATTTCATCTTTTTTAACTTATTATTTTCCATATTTCACTTGTGTAGTCACCAGAATACTGCAGATATGGTAGAGTAACATTTAGAATTATTTGGATCACTTGTCTTATCCATGTTTCCATGATATATAGCATCTTGAGGATCACAGTTGATAATACTGGGCAGAGAGCTAAACACCGAAGGCAAGGAACTCAAAGCTGTTGGGGTGGCAGATGAGCTAATGAAGCACTTAGCCAAGAGGAGCTTTTCTCTAATTAAGAGATTTTCTCTAACAAGAAATTTTCTCTAATTAAGATGAGAGAGAAATTGACTTTTTTTTGCAAAATAATTATATCAGCCTCCTAGGGCCGCCATAACAAAATACGACAGACTAGTCAGTTTGGATTAGGGTTCACCCAAACAGCCTCATTTTTAACTTAATTACCTCTTTAAAGTCCCTGTCTCCAAACATAATCACACTCCGAGGTACTGGGGGTTAGTGCATATGAATTTTGGGTGACATAGGTCAGCCCATAATAGTTATGTTTATATGTTACAGGTTTGAACTAAGGTTTCTCAGCCACAGCACTATGCACATATTGGCTGGATAACTTGGTTGTGTGGGTTATCTTGGGCATTATAGAATGCTTAGCATACCTGGCCTCTACCCACCAGATGTCAGCAGCCTCTGCCCAGTCGTGACAACCAAAAAATGTCTCCAGACATTGCCAAGTATCCCCTCAGTGGAAAAATTGCTTTTTGGTTGAAAACCAAAACTATTAGCAAGTTTGTCAAAACAGTACCATATTTAGGAGTCATATATCATTATTTGTCTTGTTGATTGAGGGCATGTGCTTCAAAAACCAAGTAATCCTTCAAAAAATGGTAGATAATCTGCTTGGTTACCTATTCATGAAAGAGTATCCTCTAATTTTCTACTATTTATATCTCCTAGTTTTTAACTAGGTTGAATGGTTAATACACTGAACAGCACATTATTATGTTAAATTCATTTTGAAGATTTAAACGAAAAGTGTTGGGGCACCTGGATGGGTCAGTTGGTTAAGCATCGTTCAGCACAGGTCATGATCTCGCGGTTCATGAGTTCAAACCCCATATTGGGGTCTGTGCTGACAGCTGAGAGCCTGGAGCCTGCTTTGGATTCTGTGTCTCCCTCTCTCTCTGCCCCTTCCCTGCTGTCACTCTGTCTTTGTCTCAAAAATAAATAAATATAAATGAAAAGGTGTTAGCTTATGATTAGAGGAGAAAGTACAAAAGCAAGGGACCTCAGGGAAGTTCAGAAAGACTCAGATAATCTACCTAGAATCATGGGAAAACATAGGGTGCAGAAATCAGAACAAAGAATCAAGCTGAGGGAGGAAGATGGTGTAAGCGACCTGCAAGTTTGAGGTTTCAGAGCACATTCACATGCAATTCATACAATTCCAGCAAATCAATGGAAATGGTTGAAACTTAAAGAGACACTAGATATAAAGATATGGGAGCTATTTTTCATGTGGTACCAGGACAAGCACTAGGAGTGTGTGGAGCTACCAGGACAGCAAGTATAGACAGGTGAGAACTAAGGACGGAACATGCTTTGTTACTCTGTCCAGAACACAGAGGCAAGAAGCCAGTGAGGAGAAGTTAGCATTTTAAGAAGAGACTCAGAACTGAGCGGCATGTCAGAAATTAGACAAGACACGGTGTCAGGATGGGGGTGGAAGTTGTAGTCAATACTGATGTCCTGGTGAGAAACAAAGGTGAACTTTTAGTATCTACAGAGTTAGCAGGACCTTTTACAAAAGCTACTGCTTTTGGTAGCACAGAAGTTGCTGGGGAGATTAGGAAAGCAACCCAGTAAATCTGCTCTCGCAGACTCTGGCATTGAGGGTGGAGACCTCACTGAGAGGAGGGGGTCACTGATGCTGTGTGTCCTGGGACCAGAAAGAGGAGTGAACTTCCACTCCGTCTGTGTCAGGAATGAAATGATGTGTTTTATTATAAAAGTAGTACAACTATTGCAAACAGGCACAAGAGGTCTCTGGGGTGATGGAAATGTTCTAAAAGTGAATTTGGTAACAGTTGCACAACTCTGAGAATTGACAAAAGTCAGTTCACTGTGCACTTAAAATGTTTGGATTTTGCCATCAGTCAATTATACCTCAAAAAAGCTGTTAGCTAGTAATAATACCACAGTATAGGCACTTTGGAAAATAGAGAAGAAACTACCCGATACTCTGTTTTTCTGACATAAGTAGTTTTATCATTTTGGTGTGTTTGCCTCCAGTCTTTTTTGCATTGGCTTGATATCTTTGCTAACATTGTCGTATCTGTGGTATATACATCTGTTCTGTGTGTTTTTCATGAATATTTCTCCATACTATGACATAATCTTTGTAACCATAATTTTTCACAATGCGTAATTTTTGCATTGAGAAATACTTAATCATTCCAATATTGTTCAAAATCAGACTTATACAAATAAACCTGTTAAACATATAGCTCTGAGTAATTGCTTTTTTTTTTTTTTTTTTTACAACTGGAGTGAATTAAAGAGTACATATAGAATGATTAGTTTTGACAAGAGGGAGAATCCATTCTTTTCAAAGGGAAGAGTGAATGAAGATACAGAGGAGTTCATTTGAGTTGATGGAAGGGGAAATTGAGGTCGTTTTCTCTGATTAGCTGGAATGTTCTCAGTACAGTGATGAGTCAAATGCAGATATGACAAAGGAAGATTTGAAATTGCCTTGTGGGGAGGCTCCTGGGTGGCTCAGTGGGGCACATGGGTGGCTCAGTCAGTTAAGCGCTGACTTCAGCTCAGGTCATGATCTCACAGTTTGTGGGTTCGAGCCCCGTGTTGGGCTCTGTGCTGACAGCTCAGAGCCTGGAGCCTCTTTCAGATTCTGTGTCTCCCTCTCTTTCTACCCCTCCCCGGTTCACTCTCTCTCTCTCTCAGAAATAAATAAAACATTAAAAAAAATTTTTTTTTGAAATTGCCTTGTGGGAACTGGGAGAGAAAGGGTTTCTGTTTTTGTTTTTGTTGTTGTTGTTAAAGAAAAGGATAAAAGCATAATATGCAACCACATCAACTCAGGTTAGGAAAAGGATGACATTGCTGGAGGCAGCCATGAAGAGGGAAGGCCAGCACTGAGGGTTGCCCAGACCAGGAACTAGAATGAAGAGTGTGACAGCAAGACAGGGAAACAGGAGAGTCTGTGATCCTGGTGAGGGGCATTGAACCTGACTGTGGAGTCCAGCGGATTAGGTGAGCAGGGGTAAATAAGGAAATTTTGTAAGAGGCTGTGGTCAGGACAGGGATCAGTGATACCGCATGCTATCTGAGTTCAAACTTAGCAGGAATATTAAGGTATTTAGTTCAAGTTAGTTATCTTTCAGGTCATGTCAAAACTTTTGCCACTGGATTAGCCGAAATCCCATTATGATCACACTTGATAAATCTCTACTCTACACTTTCCATTGTTGGCGATGTCCTATTCTCCTCCTGCTATGTGATTCATAATTGCATTTTCCTTTTCTATCTTCTCTGTGTATGTGTGCTTTTATTATAATATAACTTAATTTTCTTGTGAACACACAAGGCACAAATTAATTTTTTGAAACAGATAAAAACTGACATGTACTCACCATCAACTCTATTCATTAAAATAATTAATATTCTTTTTTTATTCCTAGATTGTGAAAGATGCTTACCAAGAAAAGACAGCCACAGTTTATCCTGAACCCCAAAACAAGGAAGCATTTGTCTGCTCTCAGATGTATAGCACTGATTATGACCAGATTCTACCTGATTGTTACTCTTGGCCTGAAGAGGCCCAGAAAATACAGACCAAACTTGACCAGTAGCATAATTACTGACATTTCTAATTCCGTTAATGAGATCTTAAAATCTTTCATAATTTTTAAAGATTGGAATCTTTTCTAATTATTCATAATATGCTAGACTAGGATGATTTTACTTTAACTATAAAAATTCATGAAAGAATATTAATATACTGTGGGGTAAACATCACACTAGACAATTTTGCTTTATTTACTTTCTCGTTATTTATGGTTTTTCTCTTAATTATTTTGCCCAAGTTCTCTTAAAAGCTGTTGTACCTACTACTGAGAAACATACCATTTTTATATAGGGGACTAATGGAAAGACCAAAATTAGTAATAAATTGATATGCTCAACATTAAAATCCACAATTGTTTTGTTGACCATTTTGTTAAAAATCTACTCTTTTTTTTTTTTTTTTATAAAGATAGAAATGAATTTAGGCATAGATGAATTTTTGCTAAAAGCAGAAATGACACTTAACTTCGTTGCCTAGAGAAAAATAACTTCTCAGGTATTTTTACTCCAGTCCTACATTATATCAGTTCTTCTAGTACAACTGAACTCTAACATTTCTAAGAAAGATCATTGCTGTTTACAATGCCTTGTGCAGGCTTAGATTTTAATATTCTTTCCCCATTGTTACATCTTCTTATCACTTTGGTTCTCAGTCAGATATCCCTTCTAGAAGCACTTTTCTTCCTCCCCTGACTGAATGCCCCATCCTTCACACTGTTGCTGCTGAACATTTGCACACTGTGGTGCCTGTCCAGAAGTTGGTACCTTCAGTTCAGCATCACCTGAGCCACGGGAAGAGCTGAAAGAGAGTGGGTAATATCCTTGAGAAAGGGCTGCCTGTGGAGCTGACCTATTAGGACAAAGATCTTCCGAGTGGGGGAGAACGTGGTTCCCAGACAAGCTGGGTTCCCACTGAAGTGACCTGACCTCCCGTTCCCTCGATTAGCTCAGGTAATTAGAGCTCACTGTGTTACAATAAACTCACTTTCCTCTGAGTTTGGAGGAAATTTTGTAACCCAACTCCCCATTATCAGAAAATAACTTCATATCAGGTATTAAGATACTCTAATTACCATCAGTAATTATAGCCAGAAATTAATGTTAACTTCAAGTTTTACTTTAGAAATTAATACCTGAACTAATGGAAACCATTTTAAATTCTTAAGCTCAGGTGCAATAACATTTGCTATTTATTTGTAGAATTATTTGAAGATTTCTGTTCTTGAAATGCTTTTCAAAAGTATAAGAAGATGTTCAAGATAAACTGTACACTACAATGGTTTTATTGAAGATTACACAGATTGTTTCAGGTGTGAATAGACAGGGTGGGGCTATTTCTGAAAGTAATGTTTAGTCAAGTGGTTTCCTCAATATAGTTACTTTGAAAAGATCCAGAGTGCTTATTTCTTTTCTGTTTCCATGTTGTCTTGCAACTCTAACTAAATGTATTTACCTATGCAAAAGATGTATTAAAGCATAGAAAAAGTGAATGAATAAAATTATGATTGTCTTTTTCTCTTGAAGTATTGTTACATTTTAAAATGATAATGTTGGGGCGCCTGGGTGGCTTAGTCGGTTAAGCGTCCGACTTTCGCTTAGGTCATGATCTCGCGGTTCGTGGGTTCGAGCCCCGCGTCGGGCTCTGTGCTGACGGCCAGCTCAGAGCCTGGAGCCTGTTTCAGTCTGTGACTCCCTCTCTCTCTGACCCTCCCCTGCTCACGCTGTCTCTCTCTCTCTCTCCTAGAAATAAATAAAAATATTAAAAAAAAAATAAAATGATAATGCTGGGCCTTGGCAGTCATGTGACACTATGAATTTAAAAATATTCTAATAGCTAATTTCAGTATGAACTTCATTTAATACATGTGTAGTCATATTTGCTCTATACTATGATAAATAAGCTACTTATCCTCAGAGAAAGATAATGAAACAAGCATTGGATGATTACTTACTAGGTTTCAAGTATTCTGTATAGATTATCTTGTTTAATTAATCCCCACAGGTTCCTATGAAGTGGGTATTTTAAGTGATTTACCAGGTCCACAGAGCTAAAAAGTGAAGGAGGTGGGCTCTAAATCATGTTTGTCTTGCTTCATAGTCTGCTCTCTTTTAGCGAGAGTGCAGTCTAGAACAGCACTGTACAATAGACGAAGTGAGCCACCTGTGTAATTTCTAATGGCCTCATAAAAAGAAGATATAGGTGGAATCCGTGTTAATTTTGTTTAAACTGACATCTCCAGATTATCATTTCAATATGTAATCCACATAAAAATATTAATGAAATACTTTATCTTATACTACCGTCCAAAATCTAGATATTTTCATATACATTCAAGTCATGGAAGCTCACAGACCCCCTGAATACATGAATTACAAAGATAGCACAAACATCAATGGATAAAAAGAATAGAGCATTTAGTAAAAAAGATTGGAAAAACTGACCTACCACATGGAGAAAATTAAAGCTAGAACCCTACCTTATATCATTTTTAAGAAGGGAGCTTAGAAGGATCAAATACCTAAATCTAAATTGTAAAAATATAAAGTCAATAAAAATTAATGTGGCAAAGTATCTTTGTGACCTCAAGAACCCAAACAGATAGAAAATGGATGAAATGCATTATCTAAGCATAGGAAAGTTTGGGCTGACAAATGGCTCCTGACATAAAAAAGGGTGAAGAAATCCAGGAACTGTGGGATAGGATATTTGCTTCTATAGAGAGAGGTTCATAAAGAAAGAGATCATTGAGGCTCAAAGTTCTCAGCTCAAGGCACTGCTTTTGTTTTTACCAAAAGGATCTTTTCTGTCTTACTGTCTCTAAGGCTGAAATAACAGAAAACAAGTTCACTTAATCCTACTCATCGCCAGCTTATACCAGGAGTTGCATTCACAGCTTCACCAGACCTTGTATTGAAGAGTATTGACCAGAAACAATAGGACCTGTTTGGAATGGGATCTATGGGTAGGGGATTTGGAAGACTTGTGATGATACCCTAAGCTACTATAAACAATAACCTAGGTTTGAATACTGTAAGTTCCATGTCCCAGGAAACCCCTCAACCCCTAGGAAAACCGGAAGAATTGACATGTCCTCCCTTGCTAATCAACGTGGGAACTCCTGTCTTAAAGAGGTTGTTACTGCCTTGCTTGAAGATTCTGTGATCGCTTCACTCAGTTTACCTCCTGCTCGTCTCCTGTTACTTCTCATGACCTCCACACACTTAATATCAGATTCCAGAAAGGAGCTGTGTTAGATACAGTAGAAAGGGAAACCCAGGAGAAGACTCCCAAAAGAATTCTTGACTTTGCTTATTTATATTGGCAAAACTCCAAGGGAAAATTTATGGAATTCTGAAAATGTACTGAGAAAGGAGAAGTGCACTTTTGGACTGGATAGAATTGACTGATAGGGGTACTTGCCACAGATTCTGGATTTGGTGTGCTGTCTTGAGCAGCTGAAAGTCATTGTAGTTGTTGGTTCAGTTAGTTGACTGAAATATGGACTTAATAATGAAATTAAATGAAACTGAGAATGCAAATGTTAACCTGAAATAATACAAAGGAATTCAAAGATTTCAATAATAGGAATGTTGGAGTGGATTTGTCATGTGTAACCAGACCATCTTAATCCTAGTGATCTCCTAAGTCTTCCAAGAAGACCTTGTTACTAACCGTCCTGTCACTAAAGCCTTGAGAAATACATTGGTGATGGTAATGGATGGACAGCAGCATCCACATAATGCATTTTTTAAAAGCTGAGGTGTAGTTAACATTATACTAGCTTCACATATACAGCATGATTAGATATTTGTATACATTTGAAAATGATCACAGTAAGTCTAAATAACATCCATTACCAAATTTTGTTCTTGTGATGTGAACTTTTAAGATTTACTCTCAGCAACTTCCAAATGCAATAGAGTATTATTTAGTCACCATGCTGTATTTATCCTTTATCCCCCTTTATTTATAACATCCCCCTTTATTTATGTATACTCCGCATATAAGAGAGATCATACAGTATTTGTTTTTCTCTGACTTATTTCACTTAGCATAATGCCCACAAGGCCCATCCATGTTGTCACAAATGACAAGATTTTATTTTTTGTGTGACTGGACTATATATATACACATGTTACATTTTTTTAATCCATTCACCTGCTATTGGACACTTAGTTTGTTTCCATGTCTTGACTATTGAAAGTAATATTGCAGTAAACATGGATGTGCAGATATCTTTTCAAATTAGGACTTTCATTTTCTTTGGATAAGTACTCAAAACTAGAATTGCTGGATCATATGGTATTTATATTTCCAAGTTTTTGAGGAATCTCCATACAGTTTTCCACAGTAATTGCACCAATTTACATTTCCACCAACAGTGCTGAAGTGTTCTCTTTTACCTACATCTTCACCAACACTTGTTATTTCTTTTTGATAATAGCCATTCTGTCAGGTATGATGTAATATCTCATTGTGGTTTTGATTTGCGTTTCCTTGGTAATTAGTGATGAGCATCTTTTCATGTGTCTATTTGCTGTTTGTATGTCTTCTTTGTAAAAATGTCTATTCAGATCCTCTGCCTATTTTCTAATTGGATTTTTTCTATTGAGTTTTATGAGTTCTTTATATATTTTGGATATTAACCTCTTATCAAATATATGATTTACAAATATTTCCTCCCATTCAGTAGGTTGCTTTTTCATTTTGTTGGTTTTCTTTCTTTGTGTAGAAGCTTTTCAGTTTTGATTTGGTCTCAGTTGCTTATTTTTACTTTTTTTTTTTCTTTTTTGCCTTTGCTTCTGGTGTCAAATACAAAATTTCATCACCAAAACTGACATCAGTGTGCTTACTGCCTATATTTTCTACTACAAATTTTATGGTTTCAGGTTTTTCATTCAAAGCTTTAATCCATGTTGAGTTGGTTTTTATGAATGGTATATGATAGGCACTGAGTTTCATTCTTTTTGCATGTGGCTGTCCAGTTTTTCCAACATTGATATTGAAAGACTGTTCTTTCCCTATTGTATATTCTTGGTACTTTTATTGTAAATTAACTGACTATATTTGCATGGGTTTACTTCTGGGCTATTTTGTTCCATTGATCTATGTGTCCTTTTATGCCAATACAATGCTATTTTGATCATTATGAGTTTGTGATATAGTTTGAAATCAGGGAGTGATACTTCCAGGTTTGTTCTTCTTTCTCAAGATTGCTTTGACTGTTTGGATTCTTTTGTGGTTCTATGCAAATTTTAGGATTGTTTGCTCCATTTCTGTGAAAAATGATATTGGGATTTTTGATAAGGATTGCATTGAGTCTGTAGGTTGCTTTGGGTGGTATGGACATTTTAACAATATTAATGCTTCCATTCCATGAGCATGGGGTATCTTTCCATTTATTTTTGTTGCCTTCAATTTCTTTCATTAATGTCTTATAGTTCTCAGTGTAGACTTATTTCACTTTTTTGGTTAAATTTATTTGTAGGTTGTTTTTTTTTTTGTTTTTATTTTTGGTGTAATTGTAAGGAGATTGTTGATTTTTCATTCTGATGGTTTGTTACTAGTGTGTAGAAATGCAACAGATTTTTTATATTGATCTTGTATCCTGCAGCTTTACTGAATTCATTTATTAGTTCTAACAGAATTTTGGTAGTTACGGTTTTCTCTATATAGTATCATGTCATCTAAAATAGAGACAGTTTTACTTCTTTCTTTCCAACATGGTTGCCTTATTTATTTATTTACTGCCTAATTTCTCTGGTTAGGACTTCCAATACTATGTTGAATAAAAGTGGGGAGAATGGGCATTTTTGCCTTGTTACTGATTTAGAGGAAGAGCTTTCAGCTTTTCATCACTGAGTATAAAATTAGCTGTGGGCTTGTTATATGTGGCTTTTATTATGTTGTGGTACATTACCTCTATACACACTTTGCTGAGAGTTTTTATTATAAATGGATGTCAAATTTTGTCAAATGCTGCATCTACTGAGATGATCATAGGATTTTTGTCCTTCATTTTGTTAATGTGGTGTATCACATTGACTGATTTGCTGATTTTGAACCATCCTTGCATCCCTTGAGTAAATCCCACTTGTTCATGGTATATGAATCCTGTATTATTGGATTCAGCATTTTACTGAGGAATTTTAATGACTCTTCTCTGTAAACTGGGGAGACTTGTGGGAAATGCTATAGTTAAAAATGAGTTCCTTGTTTTAATGGAGACATCAGAATCTTGGGGTTGATAGAGGCTGGATAGCAGCACTTTGAAGCAGTTAACAACTAGAGACACAACAGAAACTGTTATCATAATAGGAAGCTGGTTCACTGTAATCATCATAGTTTGGCGTACAAAAATCTTTAGTTATGGCCAGCAAATCATTGGGCCTCATAGCCTGAAATGATGTTGAAAAATCTAACAATTAGAACAGCACAGATACTGACCAAGAAAAATGAGTGCCATTGTATACAACTGATATAACCACACCAGTGTATATCAGCTAAATATCAGCTGGGCTTAGGACCAAATATATGGGTAACTCAGTGTAGCTCTACTTGATATGTGTAACAGCAACAGGAGGCAAAACTGACTAGAGCCACCAATATAGTGTAAAGGCCTTCAGGAAATTGCCAATCATAGATACGAATAAAAGACCCCTAAGGTGATGAACTCTGGAAACTCAAAGGAAGATTTTGGATAGACTAACTAAACTCAAAGGAAGATTTACTTGACTAACAATGCATTGCAGAAAGGAAACCACTAGACCTTTCGGAAATCACTTGGCAACAGAGCTCTGAATGAATACAAATTCTAGGGTCTCAGAAATTATTGCGGTCTATGAGACTATACTCTTAGAACTAAGTGTGTGCAGGAACAAATCCACCCTGTAGTCATTTTCTTAATGAAGAGTTAGAATTGATTTCTTCATCATCTAATAGCACATTGGATCCCTGATAACAGAAAAAGGGATTATTCTGGCAGGAACTACCCATTGATTTGCAGAGGTAAATCCCACCATCAAAAGCTTTAAAAGAAGCAGGAGTGTGAATCTTATCACACCTTGACTTACCATGATCTTTGGATCATACTAATTTAATCTGATGGTGATTTCAACTGCAGCTGACAGACAAGTTCTCTTTCTTGGAGCAAATCAGTAGGTAGCTACTGATGAGGACAATGCTTTTTTGTTTTCCCTATATTCTAGTACACAGAGGGCCCCTGAAGCAGTTTGTGCTACCAATAAACAATATTACAGAAACATTTTTCAGTGTTCCATTTCCCCTCTGACTCTGTGCCAGAATATAACTCCTGGTCTTGATCATCTCACCATTTTACAGGACATCACATTGATCTAACACATTGATGATGGTATGTTCATAGGACCTGGTGTGTAGGCATCATTGGATTTCTTGAATACCTGCTAAGACCTCTTGAAAGCAAAAGAGCCTGTCACCTTAGCCAAGTTGTTGGAGGTCCAATGTCTGATGCATGTTAGGATGTTACTTCCATAATGAATAACTAATGGTGTGCCTTGCTCCACCTGTGACTAAGAGGTCCCTCAGTGTTTGCTGTGCTTGTTTGAATTTTCTGTCTGCTGCTCAAACCCATTCATGAGTTGATCCAAATGTTTCTAGCTTTAACTGAGCTCGGAAAAAGGTTGTGTGAGCTGGTCCAGGCTGCAGTGAAAGTAGTTTTAGCATGTAGACCTTATGAGGGAGACCCAGTGGGCTCAGAGTTTTGAGGCAAAACAGGAATTTGTAGAAAACAAGGGTTTTTTAGCAAACCATGCCATCTTCTGAAAACACCTACTCTTTCAACTTACTACTGGGCTACATGAGGTAAAAGCAAATGAAGGAAAATTGTCCTGAAGAAGGGTTCTGTGAAGACTTCAGGTAGACTCCTCAGGCCTTCTTCACAAGTTCTCTGAATGGATGGTTAGCATTTAATAGTCATATGGAAGCTCAAATTCACAGGCAACATACTTCTGATTTACTATAGGGATGGTTTAGATGTCCTTGTTATTATGTCCGTCCACTCATCTGGCCCACTCCTCAATCCACTATGCAAGTATACTCAGCCCTTAGCCCAACATATAATAGACCAATAAGGAATAAGAAGGAGAGAACATACTTGAAGAAAGGCTGATTTAATCCAGTAAATTTTATAAAGACACTGCAGTATCTATAAAGACCATTCTTTTCAGATAACCATTTATAAAATATAATGTATACAGTATCAGGATTCTTAGATTCCAAGCAATAGAGACTGATTCTGTGACTTTCAAGAAAAAAAGGGCAGATGTTGAACAACTGAGCATTCAGTAGGCCAGAAATGAAGGTGGCACTGTGGATTTAAGCAGCAAGAACTCAAAACCATCTCTCTTGAAGGCTGCCAGAGGGTGACTTGATACCAGTCACTTCTCCCAAAACATACAGAGAAAGGGCAGTTCCTCAGAATAAGTGTTGTATGTGTGTGGAGGGGGGAGGTGATAGGGGAGGAGGTCTGTGCTTGCATCACACTGGGCAAAGAAGACTAGCAGCCTACCATACAAAACTGAGCTTTGAATTATATGTATATTTTTTCTACAAAACCCACACTTTTCCGTAATTAATGTCTTTTATTAGTGCTTCTGACAGGAAAAAGTATTCCTGCATGCTAATACTGTGCATGTAAAAATAGGTTCTGAAAATATTAATCACCAGAAATAGCTCCAGAAGCAGTAAAGAGTTCATAAAAGTTATTCCTTTTGTTTACTGAACTATATGAATATTCTATTTTTTTTTTTGTTCATGTTGTAGTTCTTTAAGCTTCTTTAACTTTCCATCACTATTTCTGCTGATGTAATCATAGAAAAAACCATCGATGAGAGGTTTAGGCATATAGTAGGTGGAAGGCACCTAATATGGAAAAAAAGTTAATGGAGTCACATCTGCTTAGGGCTTAAGAACTCATAAATGTTAATTATACTTTATTAATGGTCTTGGGGAGATTATGTGGGATACTATGTTGTTTTAAGTCCTGATTAAGATTGAGAAATGAGTCTTTGGCAACGTAAGTCCTATTTTTTCCCTTTGTATATAGGTAAAGGTAAAGTGTGAGGCTCTTGGTTGGATCCCACCCACATCTGAGGCCAGGATTAAAACCTGAATGGGCAAACTGGATCATTAGGCAAGGCAGATGAGAACCTTAGTTTGAAGGTCTGAATTGTGCCCTGAAAAGAAACTCATTCTGAGCTAAGAGCATAGGCAGGGCAGGGTGGACCAGTTTCAAGACCTCAAGATCAAGAGAGTCAGCTTAGTTCCATTATACCCTTGCCCTAGTTCAAGGACATGAGTCTGCATCCTAGACACAGAAAGTAAAACCAGAATGTACTTTTTCATCAAACATTTTGTAAGCTCCCTGGCACATGCAGCTGTTTGGCATCTAAGAGAATAAATCACAGAATAGGGAGGCATTCATTCCCTTCCAAGTTACTAAATCTCAGCACCCCACCTTTGGCATCCTGAGGAGCCAGGACATCAGTGGGGTGCCTGAGACTAGCAGGAGAATGAAACACTCCCTGAGAAAGGGCAATAGTAGCTAAAGAGAGACCATGGGAGCCAAAGAAAGTTGCAGTCAGCTCAGGACATCTCTTAACTAACACAGGCGAGACTCCCAGAAATTTTGGAGGAGGGTAGATCCTTCTCAATGAAAATGTGTGGCAAGTGCTGCGTAAATAGGGGTTACTGTCATTCAAATAAACTCACATTTTGACAAAGCCTGGTGAAGCTGGGGTGAGATGGCAGTGACTTCTCACCAAAACGCAGAGCTTGGATTTTTCTCCCAAGGTGACTGTACAGAGCCATCCGTACTAGTCCTTCCCCAACACTCCTGCCCTAGAAAGCACTGTACACTGGCACACAGGCAAAGGGTGCCAGTACTCACTGGTTGTGGAACACTTTTTTAGGCAAGAAACCATTATCTTTTTTCGTCGATAAGACCCGAGCTAAGAATATCGGTATCCTTATCCTTAGTATCATAAATCAGCTGGTGAAAACAGCCAGAGAACACTTGGCATTATGTGTCACCTTCATTTCTCAAGACGTCATTTCTCTGATTCTTCTGCCATTACATTTAGGACCTAATTTTATTAAAAGAAAAAACTACAGATAGGGGCTTTAACTTAGACTAAGAAATGTAGTAAACATGTGCTTTTTGTTCTCACTTTAAACCTGACTTAGAATTTACTCTCCCAATAACAAACAAACAAAAAAATGTGGTATGTCATTGTGTGCTGGTATCATGAAAGAGAGAAATATTATTTATGGGTTCAGAGCTCTACCTTGACTAGTGATATTAATTATGGGCCTTGAACTCCTCTGTAATCAAATCAGCTTCATGGGTTAAAGTGTTTTTATTAATTTACAATTAAATAGTTTTCAGTTAACATAAGAACATAGTGATAACATCACAATTGCACTGTTAAAAGGTAAAAGGCCTTTGTGTTTCATTACCAGGTAAAAATTCTGGAGCTAGGTCTCTCACAGGTGATACTAAAGAGCCACTGGCCCTTTAATTTTGGTCTTATTAACAGAAATACTGACTTAAGTGATGAAATTATAAGCACAGGCCTCTTAATGGCTTCCTAGGAGTCTGAACTTTTACTTTCAATACCAAATAATATCTGGAAAACATGCTCACTTTTGTGTTTTTTCAGAAATTCTAAGAATTGGCCCAGATTCATGTGATAGTCATTCCTTAATCCATAGTCACCATGGGCCTCAAGGAGTAATTCTTCAAAAGAATGAAAAAGGCGCAGATCCTCTCCATTTCCTTCAGTTTCCACACTTTCGGCATGCTTACAGGAAATGTGTTTCCAGTTGGGATACCTAATTGTGTGCCAGAATTCCTCACAATGCTCCTTGAAGCCCTCCACACAGATTATACCTGGCTTTCCTGTCATGCAAAATCCAGTCACATCTAGCCTTTTCCCAACATCCAAAATCTTTTTTCTTAGATCCTGCTGATATATATGGTGACTGTAGATCCACATCCGGAGGAACGTATTCTTGACTGGCTTTGCTTGTGCAGATGGTTCGTAAGCGAGCTTTCTGTTCAGGAAATAGGAGGCACTATTGTCCTGTAGCCACTGGATTGCTGCACATACACAGAGCTCACCTGGATCAAAAGTCCCTATGTAAGAAGTGAGACCTTTGTTGAGAAGTAGTTGCTGTTGTCTGTCAAGCTCGGGCGACCGTCCAAACAGCTGCAATGCTGCATAGGGGTAGCTGTGAGGCATGGTTACTTGCAAATCAATTTTCACCTTAAAATGAAAATCAAATAGGTTTAAGTACCATACAATCACCTAAGCTAGTTTATCAGTAGCAACTGCATGATTTTGATAAATGTAATAGTTATTGCTACTGTTGAATGTCAGCTATATGCTGGAGACTCTACTGAGTACTTTATATACGCTATTCCTTTCATTTAAGCATCATTCATTGCAGTATTTATTGAACACTCCTTATGTGTCAGGGACCCTATGGTAGGATAAGGAAGCGAAGGAGCTAGACAAAAATTTGTGCTCTTCGTATAGACTAGAACCTAGTGAAGGAGACAGACATTAAACTAATAATTACACATAGCAAGTATTTAATTTCAATGGTGAGAAGCATGCAAAAGTACAGGATCTGCTGAAATGTGTAACGAGAATTCTGTAGACAGAATTCAGTCTGGGAACCAGGAGATCTTCTCTGAGGAAATGAGAGCTGAAGGATGAGCAGAAAATCACTACAAGAGGGCTTCTTAACAGCTTGGTCCACTTGTTATCTATGCTATGCTAATATCACTGGAGACAATGGATCAGAAGATGAAGGTAAATTCATTCTTAGTGTTTAGATGTCCTATCTGGTATTTGCTTTCTGTGCTATGGTGCCACCAAATAAACATTCATCCACTCCTCACAAACCAGATTTGCTAAAGGCAAGATTTAGATCTACAAAAATCATGATACATATACACGGCAGTACATACTACAGTAGCTGGGTTGGTAAAAAACTGGTTGAGTGAAGAGAATAATCATAGTAGCATGAGGCTGCAGATGTTTTTTAATAAAAACACTAGACATATTTGTTAAAAATGCACATATTTATGTAAAATTCAAGGTATTTATTGAAGACACTTTACAGGGCGTCCCATATTTACACATTTCACTTTCAAACAAGTATAGGAAATAAGAATCTGGCCTCCATTTCCTTCCTGGACAGAATGCTCACCTTCCAAGTGCTTGCAATAAAAGCTGGGCACCCAGCAACAATAAAAACAACTCAGGGTACCTACCTTGGGCTCCTCAATCTGGAGTGTAATCACAAATTCGACTTTTGGCGGCAGCGCCTCCCTTGTTCCTTCCAAATATCTCTTTATATTCGTCAGGACATTTACATCTTCGAGTTTTACTTCTCCTTGGTTAGGAAACATAGAAAACAGCATTTCCATCTCTAGCAGCTGAAGCTGCAGGCATTCTTTCATTGAATCAGACATGTTGCCTCGAAATCCACCTGCCAGGAAAACTGGAAAGGCCCAGGGGCACTAGGTTTGTTAATTTCAGCGGCGTCCAGAGAAATCTCCCGAAGGGCCCTTTCGAGGAAGCACTTTTGCAGGAACGCTAGGAGCACAAACCGGGACACTTAACACTCTTTCTTTGCTTTACCTCCCGACCCTCAAGTCTAGTATGCACAACATCCCTCCAGAGACTTCGTTAAAATTCATATTCCCAGTCCGTTACCCACCCACCCCCACCCCGCTTCCGATCTAGATCCGGGAATCTGGACTTTCAACAAGTGTTCCAAATTATTCCGTTGCAGGTGGTTGGCAAACAACACCTGCAGATGCTCTACAAGCCTGAATTCTGGTTAGGGGAAGGAGCCCAGTTTCCGAATCCCACCCAGGTCTCAAGCTTAGGCGGAGCTAGGCGCTGTGGCGAGGGAGGCCCGCAGTGCTGGCGGGGCTGTGGTCAACTTCCTTGGCTCCAAGGTCTCGAGGGCCCCGCCGCCCCAAACGCTAGTTGCCGCCCCTCCGCCCCAGTGCCAAGAACCCTTCTCGAGCGGGCCTTTACGGCTCTTTGGGGAGTCACACCAGCCCGGGGCGGCCCAGATTGCTCTGGACGATTTGGATCCACCGGGCATCTGCTCGGAGGGGCCCAAGCTTAGGGGGAGTCTTACAGGTACATACATAAGATGGTGTTTACTGCGAGCTGGTGCGGGGAGACGGGGGCGGGGGACAACGGCTCGAGAAGGCTCCCAGAGTCAAAGGCTGGGGAGATGAACCCCGAAAATCGAGAAAGGGTGCGGGAAAAAGGCTTATGGCCGAGGCTACCTTGCCAGAGGCCCCCAATAGGGGCTGGTACCCCGGTCTGGGACCACTTAGGGACCTTGGCTTCCCAGGAACGCAGGAATGCCACCCTGGAACCCAAATTTGGAGGCGAGGACTGCGTATTTGCCGGCTGCAGTGCTCTGGTGGCCTACGACCCTCGGCCCCAATCCCCGGGCCACCGCGGGGGGCCTCACCCTTCCCGGTCACTCAATGGAATCAGCCCCAAGCCCTCTCAGAACCGGGATCCGCAGTTCCGCATGCGCAAGCTGCGCAAGATCGGCGAGGAGGGGAGGCGGGGCCAGGGGACCCTCCCACGCCGTGATTGGCTGGGGGGCGTGGCGGTGGGACGGAAGTCACGCAGGGCCACGTCTGCGGGTTCCGAGAGCTTCAGTCAGGTTGGAGGCGCCGCGCGGGGAAGCGGCTGGGCTAAGTGGAGGTGAGGGGGCGTCTCCAGGCAGAGGTGAGCGGGGACCCTTAGGCTTGGTGGCGAGAGGGGACTCTCCAGTCCGTAGGGGTTCGGCCTACTGAAGGCCTAGTGGGCCAGCTAGCGGGCTGACCCACAGACCGTGAGCGGGACACCCCCGCCCAGGCGCCTCCAGAGCTCCCCAAGGGTCTCGTGTCCCTGGGCATTCTGGTCCAGGGGCCTCGGGGGTGGTGCGGCGTGGCGAGGGGAGGGTGGAACTCGTGATTGAGAGCCGGAAAACATGCGGCGGTTTGGGGGCTGGGAGGAAGGCGGAACAAACCCGCGTTGATAATTGAATGGAGGAAGGGGAATGCTCTCAACTTTTTTTAAGAGTGGTTACTGTTTGGACCTGTAAGTACTTTGAAAAAAAGCGTTCGCACTACTCACTGAACGTAGTTTTAGGACCGAAAACTCATTGATGGGTGGAAGCATTTTATCTTTTTTTTTTTTTTTTTCTTTTAAAAAGATTTTCTGGATTTAACAGGACTGGTTTACGCCCTTATGAATAATCATGGTATACTACCGAGTGGTCAGTTTTTAACCAAATATATTCTTGCCTGTGAAAAACATTTGACAGCTTTGGACGAAACTGTATCAGCTTGCTCAATACCAGCTTGTTCCAGTGGAACAAAAGCAAAGATTTTTTACCATTTTCTTTAACTTTTGGTCATTAACCATCCAAGGACAGTAAAGCAAGTAAGACAGGGCTGCTATTCATCTCTGGGCTAACTGGGAATGTGACAGACTCGGGAAGTGAATAGTATATACAACTGGGGTTGGAAACCCCAGGTTCCAGGTAAAATTGTAGTATCCCAGAGAAGGAAGTACTAGTGGGCTCAGGGCCAGTGTTTAAAATTGAAGGTAAAAAGAAGATGTTTTTACTTCCAGAGCTTAATTTAGAAGGGTGTCCTGGTCCTCTGTTAATGGAAATAGAAAAAAATCCACTGCAAAGTATATATGAGGAGGTCTGGGCAGTCTTGGAGAGGAGGCTGTTGCCCTTTGCTTTTCCTCTGGGAGTATGTCTCTGTGGCGTGGGAGGAATAACAAAAGAACCACGCAGATTTCCCAGATAGTTTGGATAGGTAGTCCCAGTCCATTTTGACATTATGACCTTGGGCTTCAGTCTGTCACCAGCTACCCTCGTATAGTTATGTTACTTAACTGAGGTCCAGACTTAAGTTTCTCCTTTTATGAAATGAGGTAATCTTTGATCTTGTAGGAGTCTACGAATCTATGTGTGGATTCTTCATTTTACTTGAGAGTAGACCATTTTAAGTTTTAAGTTTGCCCTGGGTCCAGGAATAGTCCTGGCGCCAAAATGAGAGAGGAGTTGAGGGCACAGTCGGCTGTCTGCCCTCGAGTGGAAGATACAAGTTGGGGAGGGTCTTCTAGGTAATGCCTACCCCCAGGACTTACTCTGCCATTCTTTCTCAAACATTCTTTGTGGCCATTCAGAATGAGGCAGACCTATTAGTCTAGGGTGGCAGCTTTTGAAGCAGATGGTCCTTGAAAATTTTCTTATGCCTGAAAAATATTCCTTAGTTTTGTAGACATGGATTTACATGCGATTGCAGAATACTCCGCATTACACGCCAAGCCCAGTGGACTCATTCTTCAATATGGGACTGCTGGCTTTCGAACGAAAGCAGAACATCTTGATCATGTCATGTTTCGCATGGGATTATTAGCTGTCCTGAGGTCAAAACAGACAAAATCTACGATAGGAGTCATGGTAACAGCATCACATAATCCTGAGGTAATTTTTTTAGTGCTCCATTAAAGTAAATCTTTATTTACAAGAACACATCTCAGTGGCTGAGCAATTTGACCAAAAGTACAAATTAATTGTAGGAATGTGTGTGCTCGTTATGTGCCTTTGGATTTGAAATGGCTTTTTCTTAATGAGTGGTGATTTAGCTCATGACTCTGTAGAGGGTGTGGAGAGAGTGAAATGAGACTCATTTCTTGGACTGTGTTCATGTTAGTGATATAATAGAATGTCCTTCCAAGTTAGTTGTATTGAGACAGTGTTAGTAACAAAAAGCATTACTTCTGTTAATTTAGTAGGGAGTAGAGAGATTGGAGCCAAGATGGGGGAAGGGCAGACATTTGAAAAGATTCAGAACGTTTTGAACCTTTTTTAGAACAGTTTTTTCTAGTAGGGAATAGCTTCCTGTTCTGAATGAACAGCCAAATGGGTGGCTCCAGGTACACAAAAGTGAGCTTTGGGCAGGTCATTGATGAGGTCTAAGGGTTGTAGTGTTATGACAATTAAATTTCTTTGTTATTAAAGTATTCCTTTTGACATAGTCTCTTTTGTACTGCCTATAGCTCACTAATACATGGTTTGAGTAATATGTTTGTTTGCAAGGGCATGAGATTTTTGCCTTTGTAGATCAATTTGCAGCAAGTTTCAACAGGTCTGTGAAGGATTATAACCCCCTCTTCCCTCCACACAAGAAGACATTGCTTGTCCAACTTGTAAATGTGGATCACTATAACTGTGTGTGTGAATGTCTAAATCACCATAATTGATTAACTTGTGGGCTGAAGCCCCAATTGCTAGTTCCAGAAGTACTTCTTAAAACAATACTGAGCTGTTTCCTTCCATTGGCATTCACTCTGAACTACAGTGTATTTCTTCCCAGAAATTTGAGCAGAACAGAATGGGGAGCCCATTTTCAGCTTCTGTCTGTCACCCACTGGTTGACATATTGACCAGTATGTTCTTAGAGTGCAGAGTCCTCGTGGGGAAGATCTCTCGGTGCCCTCATTCTGCTCCATTTGTGCCCTGGTTGTGTGATGGGTGGTGAATGCACAGATGTCAACCTTTTAAAAAAGCTAGTGTAGCATAATGGCTGTTGGGCTTAAGAGTAATATAGACTTGATATTTTAATGCCAGCACTGACACTTATTAGCTGTATGAACATAAGCAGATTACTTGATCTGAATCTCAGTTTTCTCAAAGTAAGATCGAAATAATAATAGGATTGTTAATAAAATTGATTTGTGTCATAAGAATTTATATAAAATACCTAGTCCAGTGCCTGGCATTCCGTACTGGTCACTGGTGAAGGCGTTCAGCCATCAGTGTCTTTTTTAGGGGAAAACGGCTTGAGTTTGGTTCCTCAACTCACCCTTCTGAATACACACAGATGGCTTATTGTTTGTTTTTCTTTTAAGGAAGACAATGGGGTAAAGTTGGTTGATCCTTTGGGTGAAATGTTGGCACCATCCTGGGAGGAACATGCTACCTGTTTGGCAAATGCTGAGGAACAAGATATGCCAAGAGTGTTGATGGACATCAGTGTGAAAGCAGCTGTGAATCTGCAACAAGATGCCTTTGTAGTGATTGGCAGAGATACCAGGTGACCGTCAGAGTTACTGGTGAAAGCCACTTTGGGAACTCCACATAAGTGATTACTTCTTTAGTTTTAGAGCCTGTGGCAAACTGAAAGAATGGAGTAATGTGGAACTGCCCTAAGAGGCTCCTCCACCTACCTGGCCTTTTTTTTTTTTTGTAGGATGCCGGAGCTAAGTCTCTCTGTTTATCTTGGGTTTTGGAGTCTGAACCCCAACTCTAACACTATATAATTGAATAGGTTATTTACCCTCTTAGAGTTTCCATATTCCCGTCTATAAGATCTTGATGATAAAGCCTAACACAGGATTTTTGTGAGAATTACATGACCTAATGTATGCAAAACACCTATTTCCTGACATGAGAGAAGTACTTAACAAATGCTTTCCACCCCTTTATTTCTATAGGTTTATTATTTTCTCCTGTAGAGTAAGAACACATTCCTGTAACAGTACTTTTAGAGATTGACCTTATAATCTACATTATTGTTACTTCATGTATTTATATCATTTTCACATGCTGGAGTTCACTGGGAAATGTTAACAATTTACATTATTTCTACATACAGTAGCCCCTCAGTCCCCCATCTGCAACGGATACATTCCAGGACCCCCAGTGGATGCACCAAATTCTATATATACCATGTTTTTACCTGTACATCTGTAATTATGATAAAGTTTAATTTACAAGTTAAATGCAGTAGGAGTTCAACAGTGAATAATAGAACAGTTACAGCAACATACTATAATAAGTTATGTGAATGTAGTCTCTCTCTCCCTCCCCCCATCTCTCTCTCTCTCTCTCTCTCTCTCTCTCTCTGTCTCTCAAAATACCTTAGTGTACTGTACTCACCTTCTCTTTCTTGTGTTGCTATGTGATGGTAAAATGCCCATGTGAGAGAGGATGTAAGGTGAATCATGAAGGTGTTGTGACATAGTATTAGGCTACTGTGGACCTGATGATACGTTAGAAGGAGGATCATCTGCTTCTAGACTACAGTTGATCTCAGATACCTGAAACCATGGCAGGTGAAACCATGGACAGGAGGGCACTATTTGTCGTATTTGGAAGCTTTTGCTTTCCTTTACAAAAAGATCCTTTTGTTACATTAAAAGTGTACTTTGAAACCAAAGCATTCTCTTTTATATAAGGTCTTGTTTTAGCCGTAGATTTTTTCTAAAGGAAATTTCCAGTGTCCTAATGGCTTACTTAGACTGGTATTTTATTCTTGATGTGTTACCAGAGAGACTTCCAAATACCATTGACTGTGGATTTATAGGTATCAGAAATAGCCTAATGATTTATGATCTGAAACAAATGATTATCCCATAGTAAAGCCATCCCACATATAATCACCTCGTACCAGTTAACTCCTTTGGGTGATACATAACATTGTTTTCAACAAGGCATTTATGTAATTATTTCAGATTGATAAATGAAAACTAGGTTGTGTATTCTTGGTGGTTTACTCCCCAGTACTGCATAATGCACACTGTTTCAATTCAGTATTTATTGCTACTGTCCCTGGGTAATGTATATATTGTTACAGTTAAACTTGACAGTGTGTTTGGGGATAGTGTAATCAGGGTATTTTTGTATCTGTTTTCTATATTTGTTTAAAAACCAAACTCTTGCCAAGAAATGTACTGTGAAAGGCTGCTGCAAAATGCTTATGCTTTACCCATATCCTCTTTTCAGTGTTTTCAGACTTGACAGGTTTCTTATTATTCTGAAATATGTAGCACATAATTTCTGTATTTGCTTTCAAAACTAGTAACTCTTAGTTTCAGGATGGGATGTGTTACTTTCGTCCTTTTTTTTTCTAGGCCCTCCAGTGAGAAACTTTCACAGTCTGTAATAGATGGCGTGACTGTTTTAGAAGGTCAATTCCATGGTATGTAGCTATCCTGAGTTGTAAATTAAAGTTAATCTTTAAAAACTTTTTAAAAGTTGCAAAAGTAGTAATATTTTAGAAAAGTTTGAAAATGGATAAAAAAGTCTTTAAAAAATGAACTCCTAAGTATTAAATACTAGCTTTTTAAATTTAAAAAATTACAAAAAATTTTTTCTGGGTGTGCCTATTTTGTTTTACCTCTAGGAGATTATGTGTAAGAAATACCGATCTTAATTTCCTGTACTTCAGTAAGGCCAAATTTCCTGACTTTCCTTTGGAACATCTTCAAGTTCATTCTGGGGAGCTTGTCAGTATTCCCTAATAGCTGATCACATGTGGAATCAGCTGTTAACCTATCAAATCGTGATGCAGAGTCTCTTTGGCCTACTTATCATGATTTTAAGTTTTGACAGGTGGTTTTTCCTGTCTTATCAAATGAAGAAGGATTACATGCCATAGAATGGAGGCTAGAATCCTCTTCTCACATCACCGATCATGCCCCTTGTGAATGCAGTGACTCCATTGTGCTTGGAGGTGAATTTCCCTAGTGTCTTCCTAGTTTCTCATTTAAAATATCTTCTCTTGACCTGTCCGACCTCCTTTCTAGCTCCTCTGTGCCCTTTCCTCAGAGTAATTCCAAGAGCTTGCCTTGGCTTACTTCTCTGCTTTTCTAGTCATTACTTACCTCCCCACAGGCAAAGTCTCCATCCTGGTCCCTCCAGTGAAATGTTTCTCTCAATGCTCATCTGAATTCTAATTGCCAAATCCAATGGCTATTAAAAAGTGGAGATGCTTGGGGCCCCTGGGTGGCTCAGTTGGTTGGGCATCTGACTTTGGTTCGAGTCATGACCTCGTGGTTCGTGGGTTCGAGCCCTTCATTGGCCTCTGTGCTGGCAGCTTGGGGCCTGGAGCCTGCTTTGGATTCTGTCTCCTGTGCCCTCTGCCCCTCCCCCACTTTCTCTGTGTGTGTGTGTGTGTGTGTGTGTGTCTCTCTCTCTCTCTCTCTCTCAAAAATAAACATTAAAAAAAATTTATAAAGTAGGGATTTTTAGCCTGGGGCCCAGGACTTCCTGGGAAGTGTTTGGTTAAGCTGTAGGGACCTGGTGACAGAGTGTTCTTGGTACAGTGCGGAGAGTGTTACCTGTACGTGCACTTTTTTAGGTAGGGGATTCTTTGTTTTTGTCAGATAGATACTCAAAGGGATCTGTGACCTAAAAATTATTTCCAGAATTTATATTTTGAAGTTTTTATTTTAGTTTCTGTCTTGGTAACTCAACTGTGACTTCCTCCTTTCTTTCTTTAAGCTTCTACTTCCTTGGCCACTGTTCCTTACTGGTCTTCTGTGCAGGCTCTCTCAATATGGGCATTCCTTATTTCTTTCATTCTGCTTGCTGAATGATCATCTTTACTGCCATAGTTCCAGCTGTGTACAGCTTAATTCCTCACTTAGTAGTTCAGACATTTTTGATTGCCTACTATGTACAACTGGTGGTCTATTTCATGCCAATTACAGCTTATAGTCAGAAACCCATTTTGCATCATAATGTGTGTATATGTACTCTTGTGTATAAGTGACACAAGAGCATCAATAAATAATACCCATACTGCATGACATGCGTTCATCTGGTTTATTTTTAAAAAATACAGAAATGTTGGTTGTGCCTTACTAAGTGGATTCCATGACCCCTGACAAGTCTCAGGTCTGCAATGGTCTGCCCTTACCCCAGATTCACCCAGCTTAAAACTATTGTTTGTACCATTCTCAGAATGGTTCACCTTTTCAGCACTGTCATTCTAGCTCTAGAACTTTTCTAATGTTTTAGTCTAGAAAAATTCGAGAGTAATTTTTTTTCACCTTTCCCTCCTTTCTCTCTTCAGCTTAGTGAAAGGTTAATGTAGCTGCAGCATAGAGAGAACAGGGGAAGCTGGTAGAAGATCAGGTTAGTGAGGGGCCCTATCCTTTTAAGCCTTGTAGGTTGTGGTAAAGATTTGGGTTTTGTTCAAAATGCACTGGAACTCCATTGAAGGGTTTTGTGCGTGAGAATATGGTCACATTTCCATTTTAAGTCAGTCACTCTGGCTTTTATGTAGAGAGAGATAGGAAGGTTGTGAGAAAGAAAAGAGACTGTCCTTTAGTTCACGTAAGCGTGATGATAGCAAGAGAAATGGAGAAATTTGAAATTAGGTATTGACTTCAAAGGATTTTATGATACGTAATGAGGCTAGAGCTGTAAAGAATGGCTTCTAGGTTTCTGGGTTGATCAGTGGAATAGAAGAGTAATTACATAATAGTCGTTTATTGATTAACTGTATATAATAGTCATTTGTTAAATGTTTATTTGGTCATTTTGATATTAGTCACAAAATCCTTTTGTTCCATCTTTTAGTAAATAAGTCTTTTGAAATAATCGTTCTCCTCTCCTTATACACCTCCATTAAGCTAGGTAAAGTGCTGATCCACTTTTTTGAGCTCCTCCACCTCTTTCCACCTGAGGTTTGTAAGTGCCTTCATGAAATACCACTTCCATTGTAGACCTGCAGGGTTCAGTAACTTTTAAATGACTTTTGTCTCTAGTCTAAACTTTTGTATTTGACTTTGAAGATCTGTGATGAATTTAGTTACAGAATATTCACTGGATACTGGTCCATCTCTGTTATTTTTTCTGTTTCTTGTTCTTGGTGCTTTTCTTGTGTGTTTAAAACTATTTCTGACTATAAGTTCTTAGTCTTTCTTGGAAAATTATCTGTGGGTCATTTTTGAGGTTTATGGTAAAGGCATATTTCTCTGGCAGAGTTTAGTTCTTGCATTTGCTGGGCTACTGCACCTGGGGGGGTTTAGAGATTTTGGCCTAATTTCCTCTGTAACGCATTGGCACAGCAATGCTTTTTAAAAAGAGATTTTTCTTTTTTATCTGGCATTTTTGGTGGTTTTGGGGAGGGTTCATTTGAATTACATAGTTTGCAGTGTTACTAGGACTAGAACTGAATTATTATTTTTCTATATTCTATTTTGTTACCTGTCCATATTAAATGATTATTTTTTATTATTAATAGTAGCGTTCATATTTCTTTTAGAATTGAGTATGTGTCCAGTGTGTGTGTGTGTGTGTGTGTGTGTGTGTGTTTTCCTAACACTACCAAACAACTAATTTAATTCTCTGACATGTTCTACTTAGAAGTAGGGTCAGATCCCACAGGTTATGGGCGCACTGCCACAGGACTACCCCCCCCCCCTTTGCTCCTCCAGATTACAGTCATCTGGACTTCTGACAACACCCTCCTTAGTTTGATTAATTTGCTAGAGTGCTCACAGAACTCAAGATAAACATTTTACTTTAGCAGATTACTGGTTTCTTATAAAGGGCTATAACTCAGGAACAGCCAGATGGATGAGATGTGTAGGGCAAGGTATGTAGGAAGAAGCACGGAACTGCCATGCTCTGGGCATCCACTCTCCCCAGTCTCCACGTGTTTCACCAACCCAAAACCCTGTCCTTTTGGGTTTTTAATAAAGGCTTCATTACATGGGCATTATCAGTTAAGTGATTGGCTGTTGCTGTTTGAACACAGTCTAGCCCCCCTTTTCTCCTCTACTTGGATGGGTGAGGGACCACAGGAATATGGGAGAGATCTGAAAGCTCCAGTTCTCCAGTCACATGGTTGGTTCTCCAGGCAACCAGCCCCTTCCTAGGGGCATTCCATGTCTCATTAGCATAACAAAAGACAATTTCATGCTCTCTTCACTAAGGAAATCCTTGGGTTTAGAAGGCTTGCCTAGAATGGAGACAAGAGCAAATGTCCATTTATTTTTGTGACAGAGAGAGCGCTCATACCTCTGTGTGCATGGGCAGACACACATACACACACACAAAATCAAGAGTCTGATGTTCAGTCATCTGAGCCCCCCAGGCACCCCTGGGTCTTATAAATCACAGCATCATAATGTGACAGGCAGTTGTAATCACTTTAGTGGATATTTATGCATATTTCTGGATAGTTTGAAAGTTAATGGTTTTGTGTTTTCTGAGATGTCTTTTTTGTGAAGATTTGTTACTCTCAAATTCATATGGTATGAATCCATTTAAATGCTTTTTTTTTTAAATTAAGAAATGTGGTAAATTGCTTTTTGTATTTCTATTCTAGATTATGGCTTGGTAACAACACCCCAGCTACACTACATGGTGTACTGTCGCAATACCAGTGGCCAATATGGGGAGGCAACTGTCGAAGGTTACTACCAGAAACTCTCTAAGGCCTTTATGGAACTTACCAAACAGGTAAAAATCTCTTGAACATGGTTAGAGTTTAAGCAAATGAATAAAATAAGATCAGTTTTACAATTTATTTTAAGTAGATAGCTTATCACTCCCCCTTTTTCCAAAAATGTGGTGTATTTCCTTTTCCTTTTTAGGGCTCCATGAGGCTTGGCCCTTGTGTCCTGCTATCTGTCGTCATTTACTTGGCAAGACACGTAGTACACATAGTATATTCTCAGATCATTGTGGGAGAAAATCTGGTGGGTGTCTCGTGGTTACAGAAGTATTCATTTAGATGAATTTGCTCTTAGGGTTAATGCTACTGGCATCATATTTGAGGTATCTTCCATTGAGAAAGATTTTTCTCCTGAGTAGATTAGCAGCTTAAACATGGATGGGATTTACTGGGTGTAGTTTGATCAACAAATATTGAGTGTATGTTGTTAATCAAAACAGAGCCCTTGTTCTTAGAGAATTTTTATTCTCAAGTGAGGATGGGCCAGAGAGGAGACTGACAGAAAAACCCAGACATGCCCAGTGGCGTTATGTGCTGTGAAGGAAATGGCAGGCGTCATTCTGCTCATCCATCTTTATACTCATTCCCACATTTGAAAGCCTGTCATGTAATACAGGCAGTAGTAGTAAAAGGGACCCTGTTTAATTGAATCTAAATTTTAATAAAGCTCCATTTCCATAAGGTGTTTAATTGGTGAAACTGTTCTAGTGTCAGTGTCCAAAAAATTTTAAAGATCTTTAAATTTTGCTTTGGTTTTCTACAATTTTCATCTGAATGTGTATACCCTTTTGTTTCCCAAGGTAAAACAGATGAGTTAACTGAAATAATAGAAGATATTTACATATACCTAAATGTGCTGATGTTCTGCTTTTTCATAACCTGAAATTTTTCTTCCGTGTATCTTTTCCTTTTAAGGCTTTGTGCAGCGAAGATGAATATAGATCACTTAAGGTCGACTGTGCAAATGGCATAGGGGCCCTGAAGCTGAAAGAAATGGAACACTACATTTCCCAGGGGCTGTCAGTTCAGCTCTTCAATGATGGCACCAAAGGGAAACTCAATCACTTATGTGGGGCTGACTTTGTCAAAAGCCATCAGAAACCTCCACAGGGTATGTAGAAAAATGTGTTTTTAGAGTTTTTGGAAACCAATCTTACTTACGGAGTTGAGTCGTGCTGCTAGTCCTGGCGCTGCCGCTTTAGACATCTGGACATTTCCTTACTGTCTGTGCCATTTGAAACATGGTCTACGCCCTTTGCCTGTGAGTCACATGACTCCTACAGTGTGTAGGAAGTATCCGGAAGCAAAATCAGAAATTGGTGTTTTAGAGCAGTATGCTCTAAACTTCAGTATGCATGAGAATCACCTGGAGGGCTTGTTAGCACAGATTCCTGGGCTCTGCTCTAGAGTTTCTGATTTTGTAAGTTTGGGTAGGATTTGTGTAGGGTAAGAATTTGCATTTTTGTCAAGCACCCAGCCTTTGTAAATGGTGCAGGTTTGGGGACCACACTTTGAGAATCCTTGATCTAAAGGATAGCAATAGTAAGTAGCATTTTTCACCTTACCTGAATTATACACACTATGGAAAGAGAATGCAACTTGGCTTAATTATAACTGTCTGCAAAATCTGTTTTCTCCAGTTGGTATATTGGGAGGAAGACTGTTCATAGATTGTAGTTGTATTATGAGGTGGTCTATATTTAGCTGTGCTATAAATCCTGAATTGTTAGCAGGTGGGCCAAACTTGCAGATGTGTTCTGTTCGGTCTGCTGTGTGTGTGTGTGTGTGTGTGTGTGTGTGTGTGTGTGTGTTGCATTACTCGTCACCATTTAAATGTGTCATGGTTTTACTTAAATATTAGAAGCACCGGCTTCTCTTTCCCGATGTTAGAAAATGTCCATTCTCATGTGGCAGTGATCGGCTGCCGTGGAGTGGCTCCTGCCACCTTCAGACAGGACATGCATTCTTCAGAACTCCACGGACCTCATCCAGTTGCCTCTCTCATTTATGTTACTGTGCCTCGCTACACTACGCATTTACATTTTTACTTTCGCCAACCAGTTTGAACTCCTTTTTGTTGAATTGCTTGTTTTTGTTGAATTGACAGTTTGGTTCTAAGTCCTGCATCTATCCATTCACTAAATACTGAGCTCTTCTCTCCCTTGGTCTAAGCACAGGTGATGAGAAGAAAGGCAAGAGAAATGTAGCTAAAAGTAATTCTTACAGATTGCAGTGCACTGATAAGAACCTGGGACGTGCAGAGTGTGATGTACCTTAAGGGACATATGGCTGCCTTGATGTTGATGTTTTATTAGAGACTAAATGCAACCTTATTTTGACAATAGCAAGATTCCAAGGTCCTGTAAACCTCACTTTTAGCATACAGAAATGCCTTAGAAATGTATGTTGTCTCTGCCTCCCCCTCCCCCAGTATAGTCAGTCACTCTCACAGTCCCAGTGCAGTTCTTTCTGCCTGCGGGTCTTGTCCACTGCTGTAATAAAGTCACCTTTTTGCACCATAAAATGCCTCAAGAATTCTTTCTTGACCATTGTGCTTGGTGGCCCTGCATCACAAGGCTACAGAATGAACCAAACCATAGGCCCTCACTACTTCTCCTGAAGCTTGTGTTATGCCTTGTAGTCAACCTTATATTCCTCACGAAAGCCTCATGTTGGATTTGTCCACCTGCTGCTGTCATGGCTAAGGAACAGCAAAATCTTCTAATAAGTTTGACGTGACAGTTGCTGAGGTTTTTGACAACCCTATGCAAATTACATTGGCCATGTATCTCTCACAGGTTATAATTCTTCTCTCTAACTTAACCAAGTGCTTCTTGTTACTGATGGTGTGAACAAAGAAAAATCACACCTGTGATAAAGCACATATCTCCTCTGTTGCTGATTATTTTTTATATTTAAAGGACATCATAGTACTAGGCAAATTGCATTCACAAATAATCTGTAGCTTTCACCAAACTATGGGAACCTGTCTTACCAAACCAACTGGATTATAAAATGGAATTTTATTTTAATATTATACCAATTTTCAGCATAGAATTCTCCTTTACTAGTTAGCTGTGAAAGAATTTGCCCTGTAAAAACTACCAGTAAACCTGTATACTACTTAAAGATTAAGACATTGGTTTTTATTTGGAAGGACAATTTTAAGTACCTCTTGAAAAGTGGTAGTGGACATGCTTATGTGGAACACACAAAGCCAGTTATGATCATGCTTTAGTGAAATATTTCTCCTTTGTAATTAATGTAAGAGAAAAAACTTTTTATATCTGAGTTTTATCCCCATTTCTTTGACTGAAATGCATTTTAAAATTCTGTGTGCTAGGAATGGAAATGAAGTCTAATGAAAGATGCTGTTCTTTTGATGGAGATGCAGACAGAATTGTTTACTACTACCTCGATGTAGATGGTCACTTTCATCTCATAGATGGAGACAAGATAGCAACACTGATTAGCAGTTTCCTTAAAGAGCTCCTGTTGGAGGTACGGTGTGACTTGACTGACTGACTTCTCTTTGAAACAAGACTCACTGGTGACTGACATTGTCTCAATGGTCCCACTTTAGTGAGTGTTCCATCATCACTCCCAAAGCCTCAAGTTTGTTTAAACAGAAGGTCTCATCCTCTGAGAGATGTATTTACTTTGTTATAATGTGCTTAGTAATGTGAGAGAGGTTTATTCTCCTTTGCTCTTTTGGAAACCTTAGGCCAGCTTTTAGTATAGAATATAACGGAAGTAGTTATTACAATGTGGAAAAAGCTATACTTTAAGAATTCATTAAATACTTCTATTGAAAAAAACTAAAGAGAGAGGTCAGGAAATCACCAGTCCTTTGGGAAGGAATCCTTTTAGAATTTAAAGAATGCCTAAAAGTATTTTAGCGTTTTTTTCTGGAATACACGTATTTTTATTTTAGGCATTTATTGCATAAACTGGCTGGTAATGTTGACATCCTTTAGAACTCTCATATGTTTGCTTTCATGGTTAGTGTTTTTGCTTTTGATGGCAAGGCAATTGTCATTGTTTTTATCTAGATTGGAGAAAGTTTGAATATTGGTGTTGTACAAACTGCGTATGCAAATGGAAGTTCAACACGGTATCTTGAAGAAGTTATGAAGGTATTGAACCATTTCCATTTTCTGGTATCTTCTTAATAATCTTCTTAATAATCTTATTCTGAGATATTTCTGTGAGGAAAACAATGCCTGCATACAAGTGAACGTGTTGTAGTACATGAAGCTGAGCTGTTTTCCATTTAAAAGGAAGATATCAAAGATAGGGGAAAAAATTGTCCCTGATGCATAAAGGGAAAGAGACTCCCCCTCTCCCTTTTCTTAAATCATTTCTTTTAGAAAACTTGTAATTCTTTCTCTGTCTCCTTTATAATGAATGTGCATCTTTTAAAAGGCTAAGCAAGTTTTATAGTTTAGTAGGACTGTTTTTCTTAAGGGTCTAGAGTTCTCTCATTGAAATAAAAACTTCAGGGAAAATAGAATCCTGTCTCCCAGGCTCCTAAGAGTTTAAGTTAGTTACATCTTGGAACCAGCCACATATATTTACTTGTTACTGAGATATGAGGAAGTTTTATTATTCTTTTGGTAAGGACTAAACACCGATTGCCACCACAATTATCAGGTAAATTTAAAACAAAATGTGTGACACGTGGTCCTGTAAAGTCCTCTTGAGAAGCAGGCATATTCAGTAGACATAGGGACTGTTGTTTCGGTTTCACAGTTGGGGAGAGAGACTGGGGTCAGTTTCTAATACAACAAGGAAACGTGGAGATTTTGTTGCCAAGGAGCAAGGTGGACCGAGAGAGGGGGTTGGTGGGTGGAAAATTACTGAGGAGTCCTCAGGGATCAGGGAGAATTCTGACTGAACATACCTTACAGGACTCCTGCTGAAGACAGGCCAGGCTGGTTAGGTATTAGCTGGAGGGTGGTACAGGGTGAGGAGTTAGACCAGTTATTGAAGGTAGGAGATTCTTGCTGAGAGGAATGTTCCAGACGTGTCCAAGGGTAGGACCTCTTCAGGAGCACAGGAAAAGTTTGTTCAGGGATAGAATTTGTTACTAGTTTATGAAAGTATTATATGTATTATAAAAGGGTGAGATTTCTGTCTATAGTTCTTAACAGATTGCCTGTGGTGTGCCTCACCATATAGCTTTGATGTGTAGTCAGTAATTAAAACTATTTTCTTAATCTTTAGTGAGAAAGTTGTTTGGGTTGGTAGGAGGTTTTATTTCTGATTTTTTTCCCCAACATCCACCAGGTGATTAACCATCTCCTGTACCCCATCGCCTGCTCTATGAGTTGGAGTGTCCATGGCCAAAATTAGGTCTATTTGCCTTTACTCTTTCTCACTAGCTACTGTATTTTCCAACTTTTGTGCATCCCTTTGCAAATTCCTGCATTTTACTAGTTTCTGTTGCTTTTTCACTTTTTTTTTTAAAGCAAGGGTGGCAAAGTCCAATTCTTGTTGAATCTGGATAAGTGAAGTGAAAAAGTACAGCAGGTGGATGAGGACGAGGAAGAGTGTCCAGACAGGCCAGCTGCTGTCACATTTAGATTCTTCAAGAAAAGCTGAAAATCTAAATTTTTATGTGACTCTCCTACTGCTCTCTTAAGTCTTGGCAGCTGATTCAAAATTTAAAATAAATAGGCAAAATAAAACACATCTGGAGGCTGCTAGTTTGTGACCTGATTTAAATATAAGGTTGCAGTAAACACACTCAAGGGACTCCTTTGGGGCCCAGTTGCCTACCATTTAACAGGGATTCTCAGTATTTGGGTTATCATTTTAGTATTTCTTTTCGGTGTTAAAATTTTTATAGGTAAGATACCCTGTTTAAGAAACAAATACAACAAAAACTTACTCAACCCATTCTCCTATGGATGAATTAAATATTTTTAGCTCTAACCTTTCCTGAGGTCTTCTAAAGCCAGTCAGTTGCCAGTCTTATTTGATCTTGATCTCTTTTGCAATTTGCCACTATTAGACTTATTAACCATTCATCTCTCTCAGATCCATCTTAGACTTAGGCTTCCCAGTGTTGCTAGTCCAACCATCATAGTTTCTTAATGGAATTAATCCTAGAAACCTCCTAACCAATGTCTTTTAACCTCCTAAGCCAGGGGTTAAGAAACTGGCCTGTGGACCAAATCCAGCCTGCCACGTGTTTTAGAATAGTTTTATTGGAATACAGTCATGCTCATTTGTTTCTGTATCTTCTGTGGTTGTTCACACTAGTGGCAGAAGTGAGCAATTGTGAAAGAAATCATACGGTCTGTAAATCTTGAAATACTTATTATATGTCCTTTTCTAGTAAAGCTTGCAGACCTCTACTGTAAGCCATTCTCCACATTGTAGCTAATGGAGCTTTCTAAATAATTAGATCATGTCACTCCCCCACTTACAATCTTTCATTATCTTATCAGGGGACCCTGTCCCTCAGCTCTCTTGCCTTGCTTTTTCACTTGGTTGTGGGTTTCTATAGTGCCTTCTCTCTCCATTACTAATACTTAGCACTTGGTATTTTAATTCCTTAATTGTCTTCCTCACTAGATAACTCCAGGGGGTTTGTTCCCTCTTGTATCCTTGGGAGAATAGGTATATAATATATATTTGCTGATTGAATAACTGCTGTTGTGTTTCTTTAAATATGTTTCATAGGTACCTGTCTGTTGCACTAAAACTGGTGTCAAACATTTGCACCACAAGGCTCAAGAGTTTGACATTGGAGTTTATTTTGAAGCAAATGGGCATGGCACAGTAAGTTCTCTTCAGTTACAACCAGTTTTAGCTGGACTTTTTTTAATGATGGGAATTCTGAGTAGTAATAGGTTAACATCCCCCCTTTGTTGAAATGATCCGTATGTTGGTAGAGTAAGATTGGGTTAACTTAATATCTTCTTATGTGTGCTGAAACTGGTTTTTAGATTGTTAACGGTCTTTGAGTGTGAACAGATAATACTAATTTGTTCTTAGAGGTTTTTTTTTTGTTTTGTTTTGTGTTTTTTGAGAGCACGAGCAGGGGAGGGGCAGAGGGAGAGGGAAAGAGAATCCCAAGCAGGTCCATGCTCAGCATGAAGCACAAAGTGGGGCACTGTGAGATCATGACCTGAGCCAAAATCAGGAGTTGGATGCTTAACTGAGCCACCAGGCACCTGTTTTTATAGTTTCTTAAAGAAGAAAATAAGCAGTTCTTAATTTTCTTACAAGCAGATTATGTCATTTAAAATCTTTTCGTTGAACTGGCCATAGGTGGTAAAAGGAAAGTTCAGTAGCCGTGGTAAATTGAAAAGTGTTGGAATGCTTGAGAATTAAGTTATGAACTAGAAATGAGTGTAATTAGCAATAAGCATATAAAAGTTTTATGGTGTTTTGTAGGTGAATGTTTAAATAATTTTTTGAGATAGAGTTCATATGCCTTAAAATTCACCATTTTGAAGTGTACTGAGTGGTTTTTGGTATATTCAGAAGGTCAGATTTTTAAAAACATTTTTATGCCACACCTCATTTCATAAATAGATTGGAGGTGGCCCAACAGAAAATGTTTCCTAGGAGGGCAGATTATTTTCATTAATTCTGAACTGGCTTCTAGAGGCCTTGATCATAAGAAAAATAATAATGTCTTAGGAAATGCAGATAAAATATAACTTCAGTGATATAATTAAGGCAGTGTTGATAAATGATTTTAAAGGGCAGAGAATAGACTTTTGGCCTGTGAGGTCTCTATTGCACCTATCAGCTCTGCTGGTGTAGGTTAAGGGAGTGCATGTGGCTGTGTTCCAGCAGAGAGAGTGACCAGAGTGTATTCTAGTTTACCAACAAACATGTCATTTCATCAAGTGCTGACTATAGTGTTGAGCCACGCATTTTGAAGTGACCTGGATCTTGAACATGATGTACATAATATCCATGGTACTCTTTGCCATAATATAAATATGATGAACTCTTTCTTCTTTAGCTTATATCCTTCCAAATTTAGGAGAAGAAAACTACTAGTTATGTTGAATTTATTATATTCTCCCAAGTTAAACAGATACAGATAGGCTTAAAGAATCTGGTTGCACAGAACGAATTTAGCGGGTGGAGGGGCAAACATAATATACTCATCATCATTTGCTTCTGTCAGAGTGGTATTTTCTTTGTAATCAGCTCTTTGTTTTGATAACCAGCTCTTTAATCCATAAAAGATTTTCCTGCCCCAACTAGTATCTTTTGGGTTCTGATTTGATCTTGTCAGTTTCTTACATTGTAAGACTGCCATTATTTTTCCCTTCAGTTTTTCTAGATTCATTGAGACTTTCAAAAGTGGTTTAACTTGAATGACTGGACCACGGAGAGAGTGTTTTGTCCTTGTGTGTTTTATGCTTTCCTTGCAGGTACTGTTTAGTAAAGCTGCCGAAACAAAGATAAGACAACTAGCAAAAGAATTAGAAGATGAGAAAAGGAAAGCTGCTGCTAAGATGCTTGAAAACGTTATTGACTTGTTTAACCAGGTCAGAGCTGGAGGGTGGTGGGCTTTTGGTTACTTTACCATTATTCGTAAGGTAGACAGAACCGTATGTTGTATACAAAATTAAAGTGGAAAAGTCCTGGCAGCTTTCTTGCCACAGTGGTATATACGTTGAGATGGACACTGAAATGCAGTGACAGAATACTGGTGTGCTTCCTTCCCCCTATAACTTATGATGAAAACTTGTAAGCATAATGAGTAGCTTCCATCTAGATTCAAAAGATTCAGTCAGCTACTGAGTCTGTGTAATCCGTGTTGAATCGTTGAGATTGGAGTCTCCAATATGGCAGAGGAAGCAAAGAGCAGGACCGGGAAAAGCGACCGAGTATTTGAGTATCTTGCACTAGGCACTTAACATACCTCTGGGTCATCCTTGCAGTAACCCAGGGAGAGGGGTTATTATAATTCCCATTTCGTAAGTGAAGAAACAAAGTTATCCAGTCTACTTTTATAGATAAGGAGGAAGAGTAAGGGCAAGTTTCTCAAGAGCTGGTTTCAGTATTCTTTGTATAACTCATTGCGATCTTCCCTTTTATTTCTCCACACACACACACTCCAGTTTCATAACCCTGTGTAAAGGTGGAGAAGCAGCACAGGATGCTTTTTTTCCTAAGAGCATTCATATCCAAGAGTACTTTTTCATTGTGTCTTGTAGACGGCTGGTGATGCTATTTCTGACATGCTGGTGATTGAGGCAATCTTGACTCTGAAGGACTTGACTATACAACAGTGGGATGCTCTTTATACGGATCTTCCAAACAGACAGCTCAAAGTTAAGGTCTGAGCAATATCTTAAAACTACTTCTTTTCTGAAAATTAACAAAAATGTATTGTCTCCGATCTCTTTATAAAGATATTATGTGTCATATTTCATTGTGTACGTATAGATTTTATAGAAAATGCTTTAGGTCCTGTTTTCCCACATCTTAACTCTTAACCAGTCAAATGTTTGAGAAGTATTCAGTTTACAGACTTGAAAAGAAAAAGTGGTACATATTATCATTATATATAATAAAATTTTTATTATGGAAAATTTAAAACAGATATAAACGTGGAGAGAACAAAAAAATGAAACCACTATGTGCTCAGCTTCTCCAGATTTCCGCTATTGTCCTTCACTGCTTTCCAGGGCCCCCTGTTATTTTGAAGCAATCCTGCTAGCCTCTTACTGCAAGTGAAAACAGTTCCTTTGCATTATTCTTGGGTCACACAGAACTTCCTGGGGCTAGATGCTGAGAAGTAGGATCTGTGGGCTCAAAAGGAGAGAAATTTTTTAAAGGCAGTTCATATAAATGCTAATTGAATTCTGTACAGATTTATACCAGTGTATATACTCACCAACAGAATCTGTGAAAGGCAATTAGAGGTAGTAAAGCCTGAGGTCACAGAAATGGCAACTAGGAGATTTTTTTTTTTATCATGATCCTCTTACATAATAATAGGTTGCTGCTTTCAACAGTTTATAAAAATACTTAGTTTTTGATCAGTGACAGTTATTTGATCTGCAACTTGAGTCATACAGTACTTCCTGGCTACTATTTTAGTGGTAACTGTAAGACTGGAAATGTTGCCTGGTTTTGCTAAAGGTAATTCTTTAGAGTCTAAAGAAGTTACAACTGAAATTAATAACCCTGATTTTGGCAGCAATTAAAATTTTATTTTTATGTAGTTGCATTCTGTGCTTATTCTGGTACCTACTGTGATATGATAAGCTGAAATGTAGGTGTGTTACCATCGAAATGTTCAGTCTTTGGTGGGAATTCTGTTGGACAGGTTAGGCTTAGGTAGTAACAAATACAAAATGCTTGTGCACAGGTTGCAGACAGGCAAGTTATTAGCACCACTGATGCTGAAAGACGAGTAGTTACACCTTCAGGACTACAGGAGGCAATCAATGACCTGGTGAAGAAGTACAAGCTTTCCCGCGCTTTTGTCCGGCCTTCTGGTACAGAAGATATAGTCCGAGTATATGCAGAAGCAGACTCGCAGGTAAGCTGGGATGCTCCTATCGAAAAAATGTGCAGGAAGAGTCTGATACCATGGGTAGCAGGGGTGGTAGTAGGAGAGAAAAGAAAATCATTTGAGTAGTGTTGCAGTCTCACTGTGATAATTGTTTATGGAGATTTTTAGGTTCATATTAAGACTTTAAGGTTACTTTCATCAGTAGTTAGTTGAACAAAATTAGACCAACATAGTTTATTTCCCCCAAATACTTTTCTTTTTATTCTAGATTTACTGAATGTGTCCTGTGTCTAACTATGGCATGAATAATCAATAGATACTTTGCCATGTGTTAAGCTTCTGTGGCCTGAAGTGGATGATCCTTTTTTTCCTCCTTTAAAAACATAATCCTGTTGCTTTATGAAAACAACAGGCTTTGAGGTACTTGTCTAAGTTAACTGGTACCATCATCCAGGTTGACTGAAATTCATCTTTGTCTCCAGACTTTTGATTTGTTTCTCAAATTAATTTCCTTTAAACAGCCTTGCTCTGTGTCTCTGCTCTTCTCCTAAGAGGGTCAAGACTTCATGTTCTGGATTTTTAAATGTTGCCCTCTTCACACACTCTTGTACTCTTAAACGCTTGATAGGTGTTTGCACAGCTGAGGCAGTCTAGAGTGGGTTGAATAGGCACTTATAAGGGAGCTGGCAGCTTTTTGGCACAAGCTTAGGCCATCCCAGAATATAGAGAATAGAAATTTCTGGTGGATGGAGAGGCCATCTGGGACCTTAATGGTTACTTACTCTTAGGCCAGTTGTGGCTCAGCTTTTAAGGACTAGGTTTTATTGAATTTATTCACAATTTTGGAATGATAACTAATTTTACAATCGGATTTGATTTAACCAAGAACTCACCAGACTTGGAAGAATTTGAGTTTTCCATTTATTTAAGAGTTTTGGGATTTGTTACTGAAAGGTGAAAAAAAGAAAATTTTTCATTTGAGTATGCTAGTGAGACAAAGCTAGTTCTCTTCCCTTCCCTCAGAGTTGTAAGTTACCCGACCGATGCTCTCTTTCTCCTCTAATCTCCTTTTGTATCAACCTTTGCAGGAAAATGCGGATAGCCTTGCACGTGCAGTGAGCTTGGCAGTATTTGAGCTGGCTGGAGGAGTTGGAGAAACACCCTAACCAGGTTTCTGAAGATAATTTTTGTATTCATGACAAACTCGATTTTTAAAAAGTTTTTACAAAATAATAGTACTGCCATTATTGTGACAGGTTGAGACACATTTGTAATCATGTTTACGATGCACTTTACTAGACTGTTCCTAGATCTGATTTTCTTAAACACTACCACAGTTATTTAGAAATAGACTGAGACTTAAATCGAATTTCAGTTTCACTAATGTAAAGTGCTGGGGGCTTGATCAATGACTTTATAATTCATGAAGGCTGCTGGAAAATTAAACCTTATTACCAACTCCTTGGAATGTCTTTTCCATCGCCATTACCTAACTGTGATTGTTGTTTTGAAGGATTCACCATTGTTGATACACATGGGGAGGGTGGAGAAGACTTTACACAACCAATTTTTCCAAAACAGAATTTAGAATGATTCTTAAATGACTTACCTCACTGATTAACATCACCAGGAGTTCGAGGATGTGACATGAAGCTGTACATCTCTACTCTGTACTCAGGTGGAGATGCTCATGCTACATTTATGAGGATGCAGGGGCCAGCTTCAGTTACTCTCTCTCTATTCCTCTTAGTGGAGGTATGTGGGAGGACACTAACTGTCACACTTGACCAAGCCGCTACAGAGAAGAGCCACCATTCTGATACTGGAATGTGGTTAAGAATGGAAAGAAGATCCCAGCAAATCTAAATTAAACAAAGCTTGAAACCAATAGCCAAAAATGTGCAGTGTGTATTTTGCAGGTTTAAGACAACTCAGGACAATAAAACACTGGGACTATATGTGTATATATAGATCTCTCTTAGGCACCATAATCAATATGAGCCAACAATATTTAAACTTGATTCAGGCCACATTCAGACATTTGCTCTTATTTACAAATATTTAAATTAAATACAACCTGAAATGTGTTTTGTTACATACAAAAAAAGAAAAAACTATACAACTCAGAGCAGTGTTTGTCTTAAATAATTACATTTACATTTAACTAAATGGGACCACCTGCGGTGCTTCAAGTTTTTATGACCCCTTCCAGAAAATCTTTTTCTACCATTTCTTCTATTTTTTGCCTGGCTTTGCTGGAAAATGGTTTGTGGTTTTCCAGTTTCATGTCCTTATTAGGGAAGGTGTTTGAGTAGAGGATGGGGCTCCCTGAGTGTCCTACACATCGGCTGGTGACTTTGCTGTTGAAGACTTGGCTGAGTACATTGAAGAATGGCAGCAGCTGCTCAATACTGCGCACGGTGCAGATGGTAAGCAGCAAGTGCCCTGGCTCCCAACCCAACGTTCTCCCTGAGTTGTCTTCCTCTGGATTCTTCTGTAAAAACACAAAGGGAATTGTTATTATAGACGATAGAGTACATGAGAAAATTTAAAAGGGTGTGAACATCAGCAACAGTTAACAAATACAAATGATGACATCAAGGGTCCATTCCAGATTTGATTAAAATCTTGCTTCTAACTGAAGCGTTTTACTGCCAATTAGTAAGTGTAGATAGAGGGGTCCAACACTATAGTAATATTTTCCAACTGGAGTGCACCGGTAAGCTTAGTTAGCAGAATCGGTTTTGGAGAGGGAAAGTCACATATTAAAAATTTATGTTGTGCTTTGCATATACTCAAAAAGCTCCCAGATTTCTGGACTCCCACTAATGTAACCAAGGACTTAATCACAAGGTGACTGCAGAAGAGAGTTAGGAAGAGACAAAAAAAGTCGTCTACATTTCACCGTTAGTAATCAGTTAATTCCCTTATAGCCAAATGGCTTAAACTTATTGCCACAAGATGGTAGCAGGGTTCAGAGGGAATAATTATTGTCTGTACAAGAGAAAGGAAAAAGAGCACTCAGGAGAGTGTTGTGTAAACTACATGGGGAGGAAAGCTGCACCTTGAGTCAGAATAACTGGGTTTGGGTCTGGGCCCTGCAATTTACTGTGGGGCGTCCTCGGGCAAGATACAGAAAAGTTCCTCATTTTAAAAAGTGGGGAAATATTAACTTCCAGCAAAGAAGTCAAATGAGTACAGGTGAAAACACTGTCAACTAAATATAAATGCAGTTAAAAATCATTTGTTAAACTAACCAAGAGGCTAGTTTAGGAAGCCAACTAGATTATATAAAGTTGCAGACTTCAGTCTATCTCGAGGAAGTTAGGAGAGAACTGGAGATGTTTTGAGTTTGGGCAGAATCACAGATATAAAAACACTTAGAATGAAAAACGTGAATTGGATAGAAAATGGGGGAAAAATCAGCAGGTGGGGACTTAGACAGCAAAACTATATTTAACATACTGATTAGCAAAAGGAGTTTGCCTTCCCAGATTAGATGTTGCTGAGAAACTGTTTACCTAATATTTAATATCACTAGTTTCCTAGAGGAGATAGCAGATGCAAAATCCAGCTTATTTTCTTATATACGATCACAGGGTTGGTTTGCTTATTTAAAAATGAAATCCCGAGAAAGGAAAATAGATTTAAATTAAAAAGGAGCAAACAAATCATCCAGTTCTCTATGGCCAGAAAAAAGAAAAAAATAGCAATTAACCTCCAATCTAAATTATAGGATATAGAAGAACTCATCCTTCCATTTAACTTGACTGGTTTTAAGGACCATCCTGGGACTGACTTTCACATCACTGACTGCTGCTAAGTGGCTGACCATACTACCTGTTAGTCCCCTGAATCAAGCTGTGATTCAATAGTAATTAAAGGATAAGCAGAGATGAATTTGCCCTGACGGAAAATGTGTAATATCCTTGAGAGAGAACTAAGGTGTAACTTTTTGTTTATATTCCTGCCAAGTTGTACCTTGAAGAGAGAGAGGGGCTCTTACTAAGCTCTTTACCAATAAAAAGCACACCTGTTTTGGTGTCCGGCTCTTCTTAATCAGAACTATACCACCTCCTCAAAAATAAAATTTTAAGTCAGATGTGTTTCCATAAAAATGATTTCTCCTTTGACTTCATCAATCTACACTTGAAGACAGACTTCCTTCCTGTTTACCTCTCTTGTATTTGTCGAACCCACACCTGGGTTTGTGTCTCAATATTTGGTCCAGATGTGGCAGCTTTTACTGCCATATCACAAGCATCAAAAAAGCCACCCTCACCTGATGCTTGGCCATCTCCAATCCCTCCAAAATCACTGTCTTAAAGTCCTCCTCCTTGTCCTGTGGAAGGAAAGAGGAGAACTCATAGCCTTTGTTCCAATGAAAAGTATGCTTGGCCATGAAGACCTTGTTTAAGGTGTGGAAAATGCTTTCTAATCAAAATTATCGTCTTACTCTGTTGGACACGTTTTAGGCAAAAGACTGTCTTGTTTATCCCACAGATACAGAGAGGAGTCTGATAAAAAAGTGTCATTACTAATGCAGATGCAGGGATGACACAAAGTGCATATTCCTGCGGTCATAATCATCACATGGCTTCTGGGTTTGTCATCATAATTAGTTTTTCAAACCCTATGATATCAAAGTGAAAAGTACCCAAGTCCTATCCTAAACTCTGATCCAACTTTCATCTTCATCTCTGCCCTTTTACTTAGTTTCTAAAAAAAATATGTGATTGTAAATCAAGTTCCTCAGCTCCTTCAAGCACAATCCATTCCATTTCTATAGTTTGTCCAGTGCGGTTTAATTTAGGGGCTGCTGCCTGATTAGGGGGACCCCAGAAGACTGGAAAATTTCTGAGCACTCAAAGCACATACTGCAAACTAGGACTCCAAAATACCTGGGTCACCCCCAAACTGTACATTTTGGAACAAAACTTTTTAAAAAAAACTTGTGATGCTTCATTCTTTTTTTGTAAGTTATCTCTATACTCAATGTGGGGCTCAAACTCACAACCCTGAGATCGAGAGTTGGATGCTCCACTGACTGAACAAGCCAGCTGCCCCTGAAAAAACTTGAATGCAAAAAGGACAAAAGATTTAGAATAAAGGTCACTGATGAGCATGCCAAAGTCATTATTATTTTCTTGGACAAAGATCTCTAATTAGTCTGAGGCATACTGAAAGATTTAAAATACGTAAGACATGATGTAAATACATTTTACCCATTCTGTCTTCTTATACTTAAAAAGGAAAAGAAGAATGCAATACCTTTGCCCTTTTCCGAAGAAGTTTTGCTAGTCGAACTACATAAGGTTTAAATTCTCGTTGATGTATGCCCTGCCTTCGGACTTCCAAACCCGAATCATCTGAGGCTTCTGGGATAAAGGCCCACCGGTACCTATGTATGGAAGAATGGTATCGACGTCTGTAAGACAAGACGTGCCATCTGAGACAAAGCCACATAAGTGTAGTGGAAAGACCATGATCCACTGCTTCAACAGACTCCAGTGTCACCTGTGCCACGTGCAGCCCTGTCACTAGGATGGGATTCTCAATCTGACCCTTTATTTCACCAGCAAATAAAGATACTGTTAGCCACCTCCTAGAGTTATAAAGAGTAAATACTCATGTAAAGTGCTCATCATTTTTCTTCATGAGCACATAGCCAATAACTTAAATAATTCTGTCCTTGTTTGTTAACTGGCAAAATCCCCACTGTATACTCGGCCAGATGACCCCCTACACACAGCACGGTAAGGGCGCCAAGAAATGAAAGAAGAAAACATTGTGTTTTTGTCTTTAATAAGTAAAATTAATATCTGACTGTGAGAAAAGTTTGAACAGTGTAAAAGGACATACCAAGGAACGGTAGTGTCTCCCTCCCACCACAGGGTCCATCAACATCGCCAGTTTCTTGTGTAGGCATCCAGAGTTCATGCATAATAGAGCACACATGCACACAGCCAACCTCCTTTAGTAAACTTAAAAAAGGCATGACTGCTGCTTGTGATGATTTAATTAGATATCCTGGAGATATCGTATAAAACCCCATTCTCTTTAACAACCACGCAGTACCCAAGTGTTGGAATGTACTGACTCAACCGGTCTTCTAGATGGTCCCCCTGCTATTACAAGTAGGCCATGATGGATACGCTTACAATAATGCTGACTTTTATGCGTATCTGGCAGTACAGAGGTAGGATAAAAACTTGAAAACAGAATTACTGGCTTGAAGAGAAGGTGTAGTTTGAATTTTGGTTAATATAACTTCCAAGGAGGGCAACTGGACAACATTAATGTATATTTCCAACCGGAATAAAAATGCTTCTGTTAAGGTTAAAAAGAAACACACTTTTAGATCTTTGCCATTTGATGGCTATTTATAATTGGAATTTCCCTGAGGATGGCTTTTCCTTGTTTATAGGCCCTTTTCTGTGAACTCTGTATTCTCTCGGTCC